ATATCCAACTGGTATGATTTCATCTTCAAAATACTAGTTTATAACTAGATTTTTTTTGTACGAGTCTAAGTTCTTCATGCAGGGTATACGAGTGTGCATTTTTTATATATGTACATTTATTATATATGAATATATAATATATGTGTGTGTTACAGATTTCTACATATTTTGTTTTAAGTTTGATTGACAGAAAATTAATTTACTGAAATTAATCAAAATACGCTAGCCCTTCATCCATAAATATATGTTTACTCGTATATAGTATGTAGACCACTTATATTATGGCGTACTTAGTTCTTATAGTGAATTTAGTATTTGTGTTAGTATATTGATTAGCAAAATAAAAAAAATACAAAATGCAGTTGCTATTGTATCTTATGATAATGCTAGTAAATCACTTACTGACGCTAAGAATTCCAAAAAATAAACAATAACAAAGAATAAAATAAATAAACAGTTGGAAACAAACATTTCCGATAAGGTAACCTTCACACAGAACATTCCGTTTTCATCGCTATTCGAATTTCATTATATTTGTTAAAAGAAAATAGTCTAATATTTATGACATTGACTAAAGGTTTAAAAATATCGTAGGACTTACTTGCATAATCTATATTGGGCCTCAATTACAATAGGCGTTTAAATACATCAATACTTTGAGCCATTAAACAATTAAATCATTACACGAAGACTTAGACTTTTTCAATTTATTTTTAATATATAATAATTTTATTGAAATATTTTTCCTTCCGATATATGCATGGAACTTTGAATTAACTGAAAATCGTTCGGTTTACTTGAAATCTCAAAATAATATCGTATGTTCATTTAATGTGTTGACGTTAATGGCTAAGACTATTTGTTGATATTTTTCCCCTATTAAAATTGATAATGCAATCATGTAGACATGTAGTTCGTTGACCTCAACAACAATAATATCATACAATAAAATAAGAACAAAAATGTAAAACAGTACTTTTGAATACAGGACACAATAACAGTACATACAATTGGCAAGAGAAAACAATAATAATGGTGGCATTGTGGCAAGTAATAACTGAATATATATAAATTATATACATATGTATGTCAAACTGGTGTTTTGTAATAACAGTCCCGTAGGAACCTACAATTCATTATAAACCGCTTGACACTCCCTGCAGTCAAATATTGCACTCGACGATTTCGTGCCGGTCGTTCCAAACGTCGGAAATGTCTTTTAAAAATAATGAAAATCATCGAGACGGATGAGCATGGTTTTGATTGACTGCTAGCTAAATATTGCACAATAACGGTTTGGAAGCATTTGAATATGGCTGTATACACTCGTACAACGAAAATTTGTTAAATTAAGTTGGAAAAGTCTCCAGAGTTGCGGAACGAGGACAATATGCTAAAATGTGCATTTTTTTACCGATTACATTCTAGTGGCCACTCACGCAGATTGGTGGTACGTCCAAAGTTCAAACTACATACACAACACTTTGTATTGAAGTCCCTTGGGGCGGATTCAAAGATAAATCGTTTGGTCAATTTGCAAATTCCACGCATTAGTTTCACTAGCGGTTGGTGGTCAACAGCATTCTTGGTGGTATCACAAAGAGCGTATTTGGTGTCCTTAAGTGAACAGATGTTCCATTTCAAATACACACACTGACCAATTCATAAGAATGAGAAAAGAAGATTCTATAATATCGCATAATCTCTGATTTATCGTCTAAGGCCTATTATTAGTGGACCTCTAAAGCTTATAGAACCAAGGTTTACTAAACACTAGCTATTTGGAAGCCCTGGTGTCGAGTCTTGGTCCGATCAACATGCAGTAATTATAGAGAAGGGTTAGCATAGCGTACTGACATTCGGAAAGCTCGTCCCTCGGGAGGGAATGTCAACCCCTCCGAGTGTATTTATGTCATGAAATGAAAGGCTCCTCACAAAAAACCATCAGCAGTTCGAAGGCGGATTAGTATAAATTGTACGTTCAGCGGTCAAAAGTAATTAAAATTCATTTTGAAGTCTTATTTTTAGTCTTAATTTCTTGTTTTTTATTTATCAATTTTATCAAACATTTAATAAATTTCTTGGTTTTTTAAATAACTCGGGGTTCGCTGAATTGATAAGCTCGACATAACTGCAAAAATTGTACACACATATATATACACTGTTATTTATATATGTATATATATGGATTTATATACATATACGAGGTGTGATCAGAAAATAACAGTTGTTTTAAATTTTTTGTTTTTTCAAAAAGTATTTATTTATTGATCAATAACTATCTTGTCCTCTTCAAAGATATCCCTCTCAGATAAAATACACTTAAACCAGCGTTTTTTCCATTCGCAGAAACACTTCTGAAACGCATTTTTTTATCGCCAATAGCTCCTGTTTCAATTTTTCTTTTACATCCTCAATAATAAATTTTTTTTGCTGGTCCATTTCTTGTGCCTTAATTTCTTTCCGGAATTTGTGGCTTCTCATTGCATTAAAAAAAACCACACGAAATCACTTATCAGCAGTGAAGAATTTTTCGAAAATTACTAAAAAAAAATATGCTGGGACTGAGACATATAATTCAGCTTGATTTTATTAACACGTCTTTTCAGTAAGTTTTTCTTTTTTGGTATAAATTAGATAAGCAAGTATTTTTAATGAAAATGTAATTTTTAAATATATTATTAAGTCCTTGGCAAATTTATTCTGCGTTGCAAAGTGAACATTTTTATTCAGCTTTATCTTATTGCAGTTTCCTCTGCGAATGTTAACAATTTATTTTATTTTCATATCATCATAATACGATAATCTCACGTATATTTCTGTCAGATTAATAATAGCTTTTACTATGTGAACAAGACGCTTTTATTTCCTTTAACGCGTCTGCAGACAAGTGTTGACCCAACAGATCTTATGACGAAGCCACCTTATATCTTATGTATTAGATACGAGTTTCGAACGTCACAAAGAAGCATTTAAATGTGTGTTTAGCTAGATCTGTACCAAGTAACCTTGAATTCCTTATTTGAGCTCAGTTTTGAAAAAAGGAGTAAAATATTATTTCCTGACTCAACCAACATTCAAAATTACGCAATATTAATTAAAAAAAAAAAATAATATATATATATATAATAAAATAGAATAAAACAAAATAAAATAAAATTATTTAATATAAAATAAAACAAAATAAAATAAAATAAAATAAAATAAAAAAAAATAAAATAAAAAAAAATAAAAAAAAAATAAAAATAATAAAATAAAATAAAATAAAATAAAATAAAATAAAAAAAAATAAAATAAAATAAAATAAAATAAAATAAAATAAAATAAAATAAAATAAAATAAAATAAAATAAAATTAAATTAAATTAAATTAAATAAAATAAAATAACATCAAACAATATGAAATAAGGTAATACACAATAAGTTGAAATAAAATAATATAGCAAAAAACAGGTCTAATAAAATATGGATGGGCATAAATTGATCTTTGTTTATATTAATTTTTCTGTTGTGGTAATTAATTATACAATTCTTTGACATATTATTTCATGTGGTTGAAAATAATGCAGCAGATGATGGTGGGCAGAAGTCTAATGATTTTATTTAAATTAAGCACAATAGCTATAAATAATGAGACAAATCTGTACATTTGAGTACAACTGCACTCAAGAATAAAGAGACAAGCAGATGACTTTTCAAATAGTATTTGAACACTATGCAACAACAATTTTCCGGTGTGCATACTTAAACGGTGAGACAGATAGATATTTTCAGCTTAAGAAATTTTTACTGAGGTTACATCGAATAATGCGTTTCTGAAAACTTATTTTCGAAATCTCAGTTCAAAATTCCTCTGAGCACGTTATGGAATAAATTCAGTCCATGTGTAGAGGTTAAAGCAAAATTTATCTTAAATATTCAATGCAATAGCGAAATAAAAATCTGCAAATTCCATTTATGCGTACATATGTTTATTAGCACAAAATTCATAAAATAAATAGTATTTGATTATATAATAAAATAATTTCTGCATTTTACTGCAACTCTTTTGCAGCTAATTGTGTTAAATTTGTTACACGCGATACAATTTTGCCACACGTCATGCGAGCCAATACGAAATGTTTTTGGCAGCAATTTACATTATCTTTGTGTTTTGCCTTTTGTTTCAGATTTTTTTTCATGCAATTTTCTTTATGTAAAGTGCAAAATTTACACAGATTTGTGAATTTGAGAAATTCTGACACAAGTATGTGAATAACTTTATGCAACTCACATAAAAAAAACCAAAAAGCATTCCAATCAAATTTGCATAAATATTAATGCCTATCGAACAACAACTACATATTAATTTATACTAAAAATGGTAAAATAAGAAAGAAATTTTTGTTGCTGTCTGAATTTAATTTTTTTCTACAAGTATATAAATTATACAATTATATAATAATATCTGTATATATGTATTTATGTACTTATGTATACATGTATTATTTATTATCTCATATATTTGTTGATGAATATGCAGCAGATGCTTGGCTGGTAGCGAGTTGCGAGATTGCGCCTGTTGACATACAAATAAAACTAATATGTACATTCAAATATTGTATTTATGTACATATGTTCGCTATGTACTTTTCTTGCATTGAGTAATCTGCTTATATATAATACAGGGGTTCAATTGTTTATAATATACACATTTATATATTTTCGGTTCAACATTCAATGGCAAATGTTATACAACACAATTTTTTAAATTAATATTGCAATTTTATTTCATAAATTTTTATAAATACTAGCTTCATTAATACCACATTTTATTATTTTAATATAATTTTTTAATTATTAAGTTAAAATTAAAATTTCCTCTCGATAATTTTTTAAATAAATTTTTAAAAATTTGAATTTATTGATTACTGTACTTTATTAACTATTATTATTTCATTATTTATTTCATTGCAATTTTTAATAATTTAGTTGCGAACTAATTAAATACATTTGTTTCTTTACCAACCGACAATTTTTTAAATATTTTTCTTTTTAATTTAATTTAGTAAGTCTCCACGCTTCTTGTTAATGTTATGATTATTAAAATCAGATTATAAATGAAAAAAACTTTACTGAAAAAATATAAATAATATATGTACAGTGAAAATAATTTATCGAAATTAAAAAAAAAAAGAATGTTTCTAATTATTTGCACCAGATAAGCGAAATTTTGTCAACTCGCCGGTTCGAAGAGACTGACGCCTTTGATAAGTAGCTGTCATAAAAAAAAATTTGCGTCTGCCGAACGACTGATAATAATCATAGTGTGACGCTCAGCGTAGTGTTCACTCTCACATATCACACACATTGGGTGCTCATGAGTGTCGGCGGTGTAAGTTGTGTGTGTTCTGAGGCAAAGTAGGCTACAGTAATGCGCGTATAAATGAGTGAAGTGATAATATATTTATTTTTATTTTCTATTTATAATTAGTTTTTATGAGAGGCCGCAATGGCTGAGTGGGTGGTTGGCTAGATTATTTACAAAATTATCGAAATAACGATCGTCCGTCGACAGGAAAATCAACCCCTCCAGTTGCATTTCTGAATAAGAACAAAAAGCTACTTTTAAAAACCCATCAGTTATTCAGAGGTGGTTTATAGCTATACAAAGAGGTTCCTACATTTATTGGAAATACACCAAGACGCACATTCCAAATTAGTGGGTGGTTTGCTCGAAAATCGCTTCAGCAGTTGTATGGCGCTTAAAATTATTATTACGGATATTAATGTTTAGAAGACAGGGCAACTAAATATGTTTTTAAGAATATTTATTTCTCATGAAAATATAATTTCAATTCAAAATAATCAAATATTTCATAGTACCGCTTACCCATCTCGTTACTTTATTGCGAGCTGCTGTTGTTGTTGTTGTTATTGTAACCGCAAAATATTCCCCGGTATATTGGTTTTCCGGAAATATTGTAGGAGCGACAGTCTTTGGCCTAAAATCCGGGTCGTTCCGGTATAAAGACCCGACTATCGCCGGAACTATTGGATTTAAGTCGGCTCTTTCGACAAGTATGCCTCACCACGGGCAAATTCTTAAGCCTCTAACCCACGAGTAGCTCGTTCTCTATGAAACTTAATATTCTGCGGCTAAAGTGCAGTACCTTTTAGCCTTTCTTCAACTCCATAATCTACTGCGATTACAAAAGTAGTAGAGAGTCGCAGCTGATAGTTCTAACTTCAACTCCACATTCTACTGCGATTACAAAAGTAGTAGAGAGTCGCAGCTGATGGTTCTAACTCTCCTGAGATAAACCGTTTTTCAACTCATAAGAAACGTTGTAATGTATTTATTTGCACTAAATTTTGGAACTATCTTCTAGGCCTGAAATAATTTTATATAAAATATAGAATATTTCACACATTTCAAAACCTGCAAACAATACTCTGCCATTGGTACAATACATTGAGAGCGCACTGTACTCAGTTATGTTCTCTTACATTGTATTTAGCATAGCGCAGCTTCGCACCCGCCGCCAACTTGAGCTTTCTGCATATCAGCTGGCTTACAACTGTCAGTTATGCTTCCGTCCAGCAACACGCTGTGCCATGGTGATACTGTCAGCAATAACAATAACAACGTCAATAATAATATTGTAATAATTATCATTAACAATAACATTGCTAGGAAACGCAGCTGCCGCGCTTGTGTGGCGTTTGATGAATGTATGGTTCGTTGGTTGTTTCGCCTGCTGATAGACTTGTAGACAAGCTGGGTTGGCTTAGTGCTTGAAAGGTTGGAAGGGTAGTTTGGAAGTATTTCAATGTATATACATACATGTTTTGAATTTTGGTTTTTTTATCAAATAAATAATATTATATACAGCTATGTTTTTGAGCAGAACCCCTACTTTCGCACTCCACCCTTTGACACTAATACGCTAACAAATGTACGCTTATTTTTCGGCTTTTATATTTTTTCTTTTTATAAAAATGTGCTTATGTATGTGTATGCAAAGCTTATGATTTATGTACAACAGAGCTAAACGCATGTAAATAATGAGTGAGAAACATATATTTTAAATAAATAAAGCAAAAGCAAATAAATAAAAAAATGAGAAAAAATATTTTTGCGGACGTACATGCATACACACATATTTATGAAATACAAATAAACGGCGACCGCAATGAGGCGTGAGTTGCATTTACGTCGTCGCGTTCTCTCGGCACCACAATCGCAACAGTAGCGCGTTGGTAGAAGCGCAGCAGCAGCAACAGAAACAATAACCAACAACCAACAACAGCCCAAAGCTAACAATGCTCAACAGCAAAAATAACAACAACTAAGAAACATCAGTCAACATCAGCACGGTGTATTTTCAAAGCGTTCAGTATAAATCGTCGAGTATCTGTGTGGCGGGCCCGCAGTAGCGCTGAGTAGCTAGAGATACAAAGTACTTAACATCGTCGTCGTCGATTTGGCGAACTTATTGGCTAGGATTTTCCGATGTTCGAAGTTTTGGGGTTGTCTCGATCGGTTTCGCTTTCATCTTGACCAATGCGGTGCGGCTTATTTGTTGTAAATTTGGAATTCTCAGTTGATCGTGCTGTTACTGCGCGCCGTCGGTGGATGTGCGACTGAAAAAATCGTGATCTTCTGTTGGCGACAACGAAATAATTTAAGGTATAAAATTGGAGTTCAACAAGTGAAGTGATTTTAATATACAAAAAAAGATATATTAAATAATGACAAAAATGAATACACGCAAAAAGCGACAAATGGATATTTGTTAATTATAAAATTAAAAAAAAAAATGTGAAATCGCGAGGAAAGAAAATGAACTGTATTAAATTTTTTATTTGCGAAAAATTAGCGGCAAAGGCAAAAAAATTTAACATTTTGTGCTCTCACTTAAACACATTACATAGAAAGGTAGAGATCTATAGCCAGACATCACTCGACAAGAACACTAACAAAAATACAAACAAAATTAGCGTACGCTCTGTAGCATTGCGGTCAATAATATAAAATTTTAATTTATTTGTTTTGATTTAACTTTTTTCTATATTTCAATTTGTGTTTTTGAATTTTCCTATATGCGCTCACTGGCAAGCGGTTAGTGACAGCGTTCATTCGTTTAGCATGGACTTTGTGGGAAATTGCGCAGAAAGTAGCAACCAATAAGTGAATGGCGCAGATGAAAAGAAATATATTTAGCGTAAACGCAAAATTTTTCTCCTAATATATATTTATATAGTTACTATGTATTGGGAGACACTTTTCTTGGTGTAATTGCGTGGGTGTATGCGTGGTCAGTTTTCCACTTTATTTGTTTAGGAAAATCTGCAATATTCAACTAGTCGTTGGTAACAGATTGCCAATGAAATAAAAAATAAAATGGCATAATACAAAGAAAAGTGCGGAAATAAAAATAAAAGTTCAACAAAATAAAAAACCAACAAAAAATAAAATAAAAAAACCAACTAAAATAATAAAAAATGAAAATATGGAAAAAAACAAAAGAAAATATGCTAAATAAATTAAATAAAAAAATAGAAGAAAATAAAATAAAATTAAGTAAAATAAAATAAAATAAAGTAGAAATAAATGAAAAAATTAAATAAAAAATAAATAATTAGAACAAAATAAAATAAAATAAAATAATATTATAATATAAAATAAAATAAAATAAAATAAAATAAAATGAAATATAATAAAAATATTAAGATAAAATAAAATAATATTAAATGAAATTAAATATAATAAAAAAATTAAAATAAAATAATATTAAATAAAATAAAATGAAATAAAGTAGAATAAAATAAATGAAAAAATTAAATAAAACAATATAACTTACAACAAAATAAAATAAAGAAAATAAAATAAAATAAAATAAAATAAAATAAAATAAAATGATATTAAATAAAATAAAATGAAATATATTTAAATGAAATAAAATAATATAACTTAGAACAAAATAAAATAATATTAAATTAAATAAAATAAAAAAAGTAAAATAAAATAAAATTAAATTAAATGAAAATAAAAAAATTAAAATAAAATAAAATAATATTAAATGAAATTAAATATAATAAAAAAATTAAAATAAAATAATATTAAATTAAATAAAATAAAATAAAAAAATGAAAAAAATAAAATGAAATACAATAAAAATATTAAAATAAAATAAAATGATATTAAATAAAATAATATAAAATAAAATAAAGTAAAATAAAATAAAATGAAAGAAAATAAAATAAAACAAAGTTATATAAAATAAATGAAAAAATTAAATAAAAAATAAATAAAACAATATAACTTAGAACAAAATAAAATAAAGAAAATAAAATAAAATAAAATGAAATATAATAAAAATATTGAAATAAAATAAAATAAAATAAAATGAAATAAATTTAAATGAAATAAATAAAAAAATTGAAATAAAGTAAAATAATATAACTTAGAACAAAATAAAGTAATATTAAATTAAATAAAATTAAAAAAGTAAAATAAATTAAATAAAATAAAATAAAAAAATAAAATAAAATGAAATTTAAAATTTAATTAAATGAAATTAGTAGCTTATAAAAGCATCATGCAATGCAAAAAATACATTGTGTATATAATTTTTTAGGGCAAATATTTAAAAAGTTCACAACTCACTCTGCCTAAATCAACAAATCATTTATAAGTAGTTAATGCAAAATGAAAATATGGTTGGCCTGAAAATGTGCGTTACTACTAAAATAAAAGCAATAAATTCAAACATCTATAAAAGTGGCATTAATGAAAGCAACAACAACATTAACGTGCAGTTAAAAAACAACAGTTCGCTTAAGCGTGTTGCTGCAGTCAAGTTGCATAAGACGGTCAAAAGCAATAGCAATAACAATAACAGCAAAATCAAACAAACAAGTGAAATCAGTTGTAAAAATAATAGTAAATACAACAAAATTAACTGCGACAGCAATACCAACAGCTACGACAATAAAAATTGTCAGAGCAACATCGTTGTGAAAATAAACATCAACAGTGCAATCATAAATAGCTGGAGCATGCATGTGTTGTGCCAACAACGGTCATAACAACTTTAAGCGTGAAAACAACGACAACAACAAAAGCGACAGCAGCAATTTGGCCTTCACAAGCGACAATTGATACGCTTGCAACCGTGCAACCATGCAGACATGCTTATAAGTGTTTGAAAACAAAAATGTAATAGCAATAAACAAAAACAACACAAATAAAAATACATGTTTGCATAACAAATTTATGTAAAAGGAAAAATATATGCAAATATAAGAGATTGGTATTTGAAAAAAAAAGAATATGAAAAATATATTATGCTAAAAATAGAAAAAATATGTTTTTGTGTTAAAAATAAAAATTAAAATATGAAATTAAGATTTCTGCAGAAAACCATTATCGAAAATAACACCAACACACAGTGATAGTGATAATACGTGTATTTATTTCAGTATATGTATGTGTTTAATCATGCAAAACCAAGAAAAGCGACGTCAAGCAGAAGGCTAATAAGTGTCACACTCAAACTACAACAACAACTAGATCAAAAAATTCATAAGCCAATTGAAAATAGTCAGTATTCCAAAGCGAGCGAAATAATTTCGGGTGTTTGTGTGCTTTTTTGTGCATTTCTTGCATTGACGTTTTGTGTTTTTCTAAATACATACATACATATATATATATATCTTTATACACATACACACACACACACGAGCATAGCTAAATTTAAATATTTATATGTGCTTCTTCGTAACGCAATTTTCATATACAATGCCGGAGATTAAACGCAATTTGAGTCGACTCTCAATGCTGATGTTTCGGCCAACGCATTCCAGTGAGCCTGGCTGGCGTGCGGAGCTCTTAAGGTACATTACCCACATATACCTATACATATATTAATTTTTTTTTTGTGTGCAAATAAAAGTTTTATTCGATTGGAAATTAGCAAACATTGATAGAGTTTTTAAAACACATAACTGTATTTACTATATATGTAAGTGCATTGTTTAACGCATCTCTAAGATACACATATTTTCATGCTTAAAAATTGCGCATGGTATGGATGGATGGATGTGCTTAAGCAGATGGCCAGTATTTAATGAAAAGAAAAAGTAAAAAAAAAAATAAACAATAAAAATTTTATATTAAAAGCCAAAAAATATTACACGTGGAAGTTTCAGCTTGCATTGACGAGAGGGAAAATCAGTTCTGGGAATTTTTTTTTAAATCTACTATAAGTTTTTGACATTTTTTTTATTTAAACTGCAATTAAAAAGTATAATACCTGCGCTTCCATTAGAGCTTTCATGAATTTTCATATTTTTATATATTTATAATTTAACAATTGACTTTCATAAGGTAGCAGTCTGTTTTAGAGGCTTCAAAAAATGCATTTTTTTCTTAAATCTATTCAAAAATATGTCTTCAAGATTTCAGTCACCTATTCGACATGGCTTAGAGGCTAGAGCAATTTTAGTGCCAGAGTGTCGTGCAGGTCCGAAATGCGCGGTCAAAACTTTGAAGCGCATTTTTTCGAATTTTTTTTACTAGTCTTAGAGAGCGCTGCCGGTAATAGCAGAAAGAATATATGTATGTTCGATCGAAAAAAATTAAAATGATCTAGCTTCAGTATCAAATTATCTGCTATTTAAACTTAGAAAGTGAGAAAACAGTATTATTTTAACAATTTTTTTTGCTACTTGAAGTGATTTTTTTAAATGATTTCTTTTTCAATAAAAAATTCGAAATTCTTCGGTAATTTTTTTTTAGTTTATATTGAAGAGACACTCATAGAATCAAAAAAAAAATATTTGTTTCAACTGTTTCAGATGCAGCTTATCACGACCTGCTTCACCGGCACCGTTTCACGAATTCAGACAGCAGCCGTTTCAGAAAACTCATCACTACATTCCACAATATTTTTTTAGAAAATTCCAATATATTTTTGTATTAAATTTTTTTTTAGTAGCTTAAATATAATACAATATTATTTGAGAATTCGTTTATCATAATTATTTCCTTCCTTTTCAAAAAAATTGCTGAAAAAATGCTATTTTCGTCTTCTAAAGAAAAATACTACCTTAAACATAATTATTAGAAATGACAGTGGTGTGTTTTTGTCAAAATACTGAAATTAATAAACTCCTCGTTCGCGCACGTCATCATCTGAGTTTTCTCATTTGTGTAACTCTGTTTAAATTATATAAATATTTACGTAGTATTTATGTACAAGAAATGTATGAAGCACATATATTTCTACATACGCTTACTTATACGTACATACATACATACATTCAAAGTCTACAAAATATGAATGTATGCACGTACGTACATATGTAAATAAAATAAATATAATATCTGAACGCTTTCAAACAGCTGTACAAAGTCAAACGCCTTTAGCCTTGCTGCAAAAATTTAATTAAAAAAAAAATAAAAATCTAAATGAAAACGAAAAGAAATGCAAAGAATAAGAGTGAAAAAAAATAAACTAATATGAAGAAAAAGATATGATAAATTAAAAGAATATGTATAAAGCAAAATAAATAATAAGAAAATTTTGATTGAAAGGGGAAATATATTGTATAATCGTACATAATTGATATGCCAATTAAAAGCGTTAAGAATTTTATAGCGCAAAAATTAATTTAAGCGCTAACAAAGTGCTGATCCGTTTTGTACTCCTTTTTGAGTAGCAGAAATTCATAGAAGTTGAGTAATAAAATGGAAATGGATAAATAATGAAAGTTTCTTGAATACGTTTTCTGACTATTTTTAGCTTTTAATCAAGGCACAGAATTTTGACATATTTCAAGCTTGAATCATATTCTGAATATTTGGTGACTGTAAACTCATATCTATGTATCTACCTAAAGGTGTGTAATTGTGGAAAACAAATAAAAAATATTGTTTTTGTTAGTTTCTTTGACTTTACATCTGTCATCTCTCAATAGAAACTGTTGGACAAAGGTTTCACTTAAACCTAGATCAACGCCCTAAACAGTTGGTAGTTTTAATTTTATTTAATTTTTAATATTTTTTTTCCATAAAATTTTCTTAAGTCTCCACTTACTTGTTCAAATGGAAATTCTCTTAATTTAAATTTAAATTCTTTTTTCTTCAAAAGTATGCACGCATTCCATCAAATTCGTTACTTTCAGCAGGCAGTGGTGAGCTTGCAGTAAATGTAGCTCGAAAAACACACAATAAACAATACCCATGTACAATTGTGTGTATATTTTCGTATATAACATAATTGATATATTGTTTTTAAGCATTTTTCCAATTAGCTTGAGTGTCATTAAGTCATTAAGAAAAATTTGTTTAGGCTATCTACGGCACAGATTTGCGTACAGAATGGATAAATTAATTGATGTGGCAGAGAAATCAACTGATGGAGTGTTATTCTTTTCTTTATAAATTATGAGAAATAGTATACAGATTTAGGGAATTGGAAACCGCAATCCGATAGAACATTACAGTAGTAGAGAACAAAAGTTTTTAAAGCGCTTTGCCTGCTTACGCTAGAAAGGAGGTCAAAAAGTGTAAAGGAATTTTATTTGCATTTGATTATTGAGATTTTTTTCTTTTATTTATTTAAAGAAAATGCGACTGTAATTCGGTTATAGCTGGGTCTAAGCTTTACTTAGGTTATGTTAAACTGATAGGCGCCTTAGATTGGTTTCTTGCAATATCAGCTTTATGGCAATCTAGGTTAGTAGTATCATATAGGACGGCAATAGCTGAAGAGAGCCTTAATATTCTTATATAAGTATATTGAGTTTTGAAGTCTCATCTGGTACCTTTGAACTGCTTTGCTTCGATTTATCTAAGAGGATGTAGCAGAGGAGATGTTCTAACGTCTCACTCATTAATATTTACTTAAATTTCTTTTAATAAAAATTGAATTGATTTCAGAACCTCAAATGAGTCGATTCAATTGATAGTTTTTAGAGCTTTAAAAATGACGGTTTTTTTCGCCAGCTTTAAATAAGTTTCTCGAAAACCAGTCCCGTTTGTTTTGGCTTTAATTTTTTGTCCACCGGTTTTTTCGCTGATTCTAACCAAATGGGTGAACATTAAGGAATTTGAAATAATTTACGTTGTTATTTATTTATTTAATTCTTTTTTTTATCAAAGCGTTAGGTAATTAAATAATTTTTTTTACCTTAAAATATCTTCAATATTTGATAAAGAAAATTTTGCATTGAAAATATGCGCGGTCCCACCATAATGTCCAGCTATCAATAATCCTTTTAGAGCTTATTGGAATTATCTATTTTTGAAGGTACAATGTGTAAAATTAATATTCGCAAATGTTTGTAAATTCTTGCTCTTTATACGTACATAAACATTTGTTTCTTTGTTTGTTTTCTGTGGTCTCCGAAGCTTAAATTTGGTCAGTTTGTCTCCATGGTTAATGGAGAGTTTGGTACGAAATAATTTTTGCGGAAAGTTGACTAGGCATCGACTTTATGCAAAAAAAATCTACTTGTTGTTCAATTTACTTCAAATTCGAAGACTACTCTTACCGGAAAGTGATTTAGGTGCTGACCTACTCGAAAAATTCGTTTACATTCCTGCGATTTACTTGAAATTCGGTACTTCGGATTAGATTAGCAGGACAACTATTCTTAGATTAACAGAATGACTAATTTTCTCTTCAAGTGGTGCGTCAGTGATGCATCCATAAGTGTTTAGATCAATAAGCAATACTTTTTTTATAGTTCCTTGCAACACCAATTACAGTAGAATAAATATGGGACCAAATACAGAAAGTTACAACAAAGTGTGTTTGGGATCGCTACTTCATATCCCGTGTGACAATGGAAACAACATTTTTGGTCAGAGTGAGAGTAAAATAATGTAAGGCGAAAAGAGTTTTAGATTTTTTCTCATAAATAAAGCCAGTTTAAATATTAAAAGTTAGCTACTGTTTTAAATTAAACCTACTTAAATCTGTATGCGGGTGTCTTTCGATTTTTTTCTCATATTTTAAGGTTTTTTCAATATAATATATAACAAAATTTGAATCCCAGGATTGCAACTTGCCACTGTACTGTAGTGAAACTGTAGACCAATAATAAATAAATTCTATTACCATCACGACACTACAGCCGAGCGGTTAGTGGCTATGACTGCCGTGCTTCAGATGGAAATTAAATATGAACTAGTATTTAACTAGTATGATGAATATTCGGACAAAAATGCAGTTCGTGGAACAATGCCATGTTAAAGATAACAGTTACTATTTAATATGGGAGAATGATGGAAGATGAATTAGTTAGTGTAAAAATGAAGGATTTTAATATTTTTCGTTGCAGAGTGTGTACAGAAGCATATTTCAAGCTAAGCCTGACGAAAGAGAAAAAGGGTATTACAGCTAAATAGGTATCATTGAGCTCTTTAAGGGGAAAACCCGAAAATTTTTATCATGCCTTAAAAGGTGCTTTAGGGTCTCAGGAATAACATACCAAAAGGTGGATGCTCAAATTATTCATTAAACGGCAGTGCCTCGTAGGCATGCCCCGAATGCGATTTAGTTTTAAACACGTTTTTCTCGTAATCACTTTTTTTAAACTTGCCGAAGACAGAACTCGAACAAATCTTACCGATTCTTCAGAAATTTTTACATGCAACCTACGTAGGATTACATAATATTTTTCTCATCAACACTATCATGTCCTTTTTTTATAGTAAAAATTTTAACTTTTTGTGAAAACGTGCAAATTTCGCGAAAAAAAAACAAAATATCAGAAAGAACGTCCCTTGCTGTTGTTATATATATGGAAACTAAAAAATTGCAAAAATTTAAACAAAATTAAGGAGTTTACGTCTTCAGCCATGAACCGATAAGTAAAACAGTCGTCTTCGAAGATATGCTGGACAGCGGCGATTTTCATATAGATTTACATGAAAAACTGTATATTTGTACCACAAAGCTTGTATTGTTAAAACTATTTCACAGATTTTCGATCGATTTGTTTGTTGAGTCAAAATAATTTCATAAAATATGCCCATTTTTTTTGCGCTCTGAACAGCTTCCCCCTTCACTCAACATTTGATGTCTGGCAATTTTCTAACACCTGAAACAAAGCAGTCAGTTACTTGGTCATCAGATTATAAATACATCAGATATTCGATTATTATGATATAATGTCCACAAAATTTATATAATTAGTTTTGCTTTCATATAAATATTGTGTGTATGTCGGAAATATATTTTTCTATTTAATATGCACACTTATGTTTTCGACAAATAATTGAAAATGCAAGCAATTGACGTCAGCGTGGGCATTATTAGTAAACAAATTCTATTCTAGCATTAGAATTGTATATTATTGATAATATATATATGTACATATATACAGAAGTATGTGCTCTTATAAGCGTGCTGATAAATATGTCTAGCATTGTACATATATATGTTTGTATGGGTTAATGCATTTGTATCTAAATACAAAAATTGTTATCTCACCTACTAATGCGTTTCTCGAGCACAAAGTTCAGTATGAAAATGGTAATTTATAAACATCTTTTTTTTCATATAAATAAAATAAATAAATAGGTAAGCATAAGAATATTTTACATTTGCCGACCACATTGCATTTGAGTGCATTATGACCAGGTAATGCCATAAACAACTATATTGTATTATACTCAGGTATATATATATAGATACTATATAGCATGTACCTATCTACATATTTGCACGAATTTCCAAGACAATTTTTTTCATAAATATATATATGCTGTGCATGGCAACTCGAGCAGAAAATGTGCATGAAAATAAATTTTAATGCATTTGTTTGTGCATTAAATATGCAAATAAATGCACATTTGCCTGTATCTATAATGTACATATATGTGTGTAGGCATGTAAGTATGGCTGTTTATCTCGACAATGATTGTGCTTAGCTATATTGCAAATATGAGATCAATACCAATGACCACTGATTTGAAAATAAAAAAGAGTAAGGTAAAAGAAGTAAATTTAAAGTGTTGAAATATAATTAACTGTTATTATTTCAATTTCAATATGAAAATTTTCGATTTATGATTTATGATTTATGTTTTATGATTTATGATTTATGATTTATGATTTATGATTTATGATTTATGATTTATGATTTATGATTTATGATTTATGATTTATGATTTATGATTTATGATTTATGATTTATGATTTATGATTTATGATTTATGATTTATGATCTAAAGTTAAAATAAAACGCGAAATATAATATCGTGTTGCCTACATTTAGGAGGTACACTGGAGCAAATAGTAAGATGGCATTTTTTGTGAAATATCCTAATTATTTCAAAGGTGAACATATGCACAATGCGGGTATGTACAACGGACGAGTTTTTCATGGCCGACAACAACATATGTACCTCTTTTAAATATTTGTTACGTCAACGACCTCGCCGTGGTACAACAACCCTTTGCCTACACCGCGTGCTTTTCAATTTTGAATGAGTTGTAAATATTTCAACCCTTTTCTTCTTTTGTTATATTTGCTACTGTGTAGCTATCTTTTCCGTATGTTTTACTTGTTTGCCAAGATTTTTTGTTGTTGTCATATTTGCTTACATACACACGCTGTTGCCTATATTGTACAATATTATTTGTATTTTCAATATATATAAATGGCTTTCGGTGATTTTTATTTCTTTTGCTCTGCTGCACAGAAACCGGTACATACAAGTATGCATGTATGTACGTGTAAATGCAAGTTCTTTATGCTGTTCTTGATTGTGTGCGTGACAGCACGTTTGGTTAGCGTGCTTTTCGCCCTAAATGCGCATAATTTTTCATTTATCTCCACCTTGTCGGCTTTGAACTAATTTCATGTAAAAATATCTACATATTTGGACATAATGTACTGACGCTTAGTGAGATAATTGTGCATTTAGTTAGATATATATGTAAATATGTACTTAAGTACATACATACATATATTAATGCTTAAGTTTGACATTTGATTTTAATTGATAGTAGCTAAAATAGTTTGTGGGGAAAACTACCGCAAATTAATTTCTATTATTATATGTTTTATAAATATCTTTGATATAACCTGTATTATGGCGACAATAATTTTCTACTTACGATGGCTTAGATTTGTATTTGTAAATTAATGGTCGAAACACCTATATATATATTTTTAATATAATTTTTTTTATTCTATTGAAATTTTTTATGTTATATTTTATTTTATTGTAATTTATGTTATTTTGTTTAGTTTAATTTTATTTTAGTTTTTTTTCATAAGATTTTATATAGTTTCACTTTACTTTATTATATTTTATTTTATATTAAATCATTCTGTTTTACTTTATTTTATCTTATTTTATGTTATTTATTTAATTTTATTTTGCTTTTTTTATTTCATATTATATTATCTCAATTATGTTTTATAATTTAATTTAATTTAATTTTATTTTATTGTAGTTGTTTTTATTTTATTTTAATCTATTTTCATTTGTTTTTTTTTTATATTATATTATTTCAATTTTATTTAATAATTTAATTTAATAATAATTTAGATTAATTTTCTTTAATTTTATGATATTTTGTTTTATTACAGCTTATTTTTTTAATCAATTTTATTTTATTTTAATTTATTTCATTTTATTTTATTTTATTTTATTTTATTTTATTTTATTTTATTTTATTTTATTTTATTTTATTTAATTTAATTTTTTTTTGTTTTATTTTGTTTCATATTGTATTATTTCAATTATGTTTTATAATTTAATTTAATTTTATTTTATTTTATGATATTTTATTTTATGGTAGTTTTTTTATTTTATTTTAATCTATTTTCATTTGTTTTGTTTTATTTTTTTTTTAATTTTATATTATATTATTAGAATTTTATTTATTAATTTAATTTAAAAATTATTTAGATTATTTTTGTTTAATTTAGTTTTATTTTATTTTATGATATTTTGTTTTATTACATTTTATTTTTTTATTCAATTTTATTTTATTTTATCTCATTTTATATTTTTTTTTAATTTTATTTTGTTTTATTTTATTTTATATTATATTATTTCAATTATATTTTATAACTTAATTTTATTTAATTTTATTTTATGATATTTTATTTTATTGTAGTTTTTATGTTTTATTTTAATCTATTTTCATTTGTTATGCTTTATTTGTCTTATATTATATTATTTAAATTTTATTTAATAATTTAATTTAATGCTAATTTAGATTAATTTGGTTTAATTTAATTTTATTTTAATTTATTTTATTTTATGATATTTTGTTTTATTATAGTTTATTTTTTTATTCAATTTTATTTTATTATAATTTATGTTATTTTGCGTTATTTTATTCTATTTGATTTCATATCGTTTCACTTTACTTTATTATATTTTATTTTATATTATATCATATTATTTTATTTTAATTTGTTGTGTTTTATTTTATTTTATCTCATTTATGTTTTCTTATTTTATTTCATAATGAATTATTGCAAATATATTTTATAATTTAATTTAATAATAATTTAGTATAATTTTATTTCATTTTATTTTACTTTATTTTAAGATAATTTTTTATTATAGTTTACTTTTTTATTCTATTTTAATTTGTCTTATTTTATTTAATTTAGTTTTGTGTTATTTTATTTTGGTCTAATGTGCGTCTTTATTCATTATATTTTATTAAAACTATGCTTATTTAATTTTTTTTATGTGTTTTTTTGCTTCTATTTGATTTAATGTATTTAATATTAAAAAAATTAGTTTCTTTCAAAATAATTAAATTTTTTTAAACGAGATTTGCTTTTTTTACTTTATCACATTTTATTTCTATTCTACTTAATTTTTGATTTTTAGTTAATTTTTAATTGTTGTTTTAGTTTTATTGTTATTTCTTTTCTTTTATTTAAGTTATATATGGCAATTATTAAATTGTGTTTATTTTGATTTGGTTTAACTTAATTTGATTCTAATCCATTTTTTTTTATTTTATTTAGTTTAGTTGAATTTATTCTAATTTTTTATATTATTTAATATATTATATTCATTTAAAATTTTATAATTTTTGTTTTTATTCTTTTTATATTCTATTATTTTATTAATTTTACTTCTTCTTAATTAATTTAATTTATTAATTTTATTTTAAAATATTTAAATTGATTTTGCACCATTTTAAATGTTAATATGCATCAAATTAAGCCCATTGAAGTGTTAAATATGAAAACCGAAACAGTAGCGAAGAATGACGCAATAAAAGATAAACAAGCGGTGGTCTCATAAAAGACAAATACCTGAATGAATCACGTTTCACGTTTCACGCTAATTTGTCGTGTAGCTTTTAAAAGCAAATAATTTGAATAAATATACGCACACCTTGCGTACACCTACATGAGAATATATTAATAAAACAAGTTCAGCAAACATAAAAAGAAGCAATGGAAATTATGTTTCTACTTTACACTGCTGTTATTGTATGGCAAATTTTTGTTATGTAAATATGTATTTAATTTTTTTTATTATTTAAATTTTCTTCAAATTAGCTGCTTTTGGATATTATCTGTCAAATAACTTTTTTTTTTACTTGTCTCATGGAGATAATACTTTTGTACTTCATGCATTATTTATTGTCTAGACTCGTCTGCAAAGGAATTAGCTGCAAATGTCGCACGATTTTCTATCTATGCAGTGAAATGTCTTATACCAAATATTTTCCAAGTAACCGTTTAAATATTAATAAATTCTTTAGTATTAAGCTTTGTGTTAAGTTTTTGATTTAAGATTCCAATATTTCATAATTTTTTTTTAGGCCAAGATAGTAAAGAATATGTGAATTTTTGTTGAAAATAGCACATGATATCGTGAAAAATGTATTAAATTTGCCAACATGCGAATATAAATTAAACAGAATGCAAACAAAGGCGAAGAGACTTAACACTTTTAGCTGAGATTTTCATAGAATCTTAATATGTAATCTTTTTTTTTGACATTATATGGTTTTCAACTTACGTAAAAAAGCGGTTTTAGATAATTTTTTTTTAATTCCTGTTGTTAATATTAAGTTTTTGTTATAATAAAGATATAATCAAGCGGAGTCTTTAGAATATTTTTAGTTGAAATTGTTCCATCAATAATAAACGAAGAGGTTACCAGATCATTAAAAAAGGAAAATAGAAAAAATAAAATATTCATTGTTTGTAAATAATTCAAAAAAAAAAAAAAAATGTGATAAAAGAAAATTGCAGAACAACAAAATTCACATTTCCGAATTCGATTAAAAATAGAGAAAGTTTGGCAAGCACATACGTACATACATACATACACGTCAATAATAATAAGTACAAAAACAAACATAAAACCGAAGCAACCTTAAATAGAAAGAATTAACAATAGAACACCGGACCCAAAGAGCTGGACGCTACTGATAAGCAATGACAATGCAATACGTGAGCTGTGACTGATTTGAATAGCGGCCTGGAGAACACAGAAAAAAACCAAAAAAAAAAAAAATAAACAAATAAATTTTATCAAAACAATTTGCCATCACTTTGAATGGATGCAAAGCATATTTTACTTTTCAAATAAGTAAAGAAAAGGGCACAAAACAAGAAAGAACTAGAAGAAACAAAACAAAGCACCAAAGGCAACACGAAGCGTTTGTAATCACAGCTGATGAGTGCGAGAATGCCTGTCTGAAGTAATAATGCACACACTTATATACATATGTATGCACCTACGCATACAAATAAATTATTTGAATATAATGACACAACAAATACAATTCAATTTATATGTAAAACAACAACAAAAACTATATAGAACAATACAGTTTTTGCTATTATTATTATTTACTTGCATTCCATATTATTGCTATTATAATCAGTTGGAAAAAAGAAGAGGTAAAAGACGTAAGAGCAAAAACAACAACAATTATAGCAACAACATCAGCATCACTCACAAGCCATTACAAGAGTCCAGATGACACTCTCGTGCCCTAACCCTGTTTTTGTTATTGTTGAAATACATATGTACACATACACGTATGTACATATACAATAGTATGTATAACAATCTTTTTTCTTCGATGTTTCCAGGCTTATAGAAAAAAAACACTATTCTGCTGATTGTGTATATACTACATACAGACATACATACATACATACATCCATACATTAGTAGACACTTATGAAAATGCATTTTAGAGCATTTAGTTTTGAAATTGTGTGCCTAAGATGCTGTTGTACCTTGAGAGCGGAGACCTTGCATTATTCGGTTTAAGACAATTTGTGACATAACGGTAGAAGCGTGGAGTTTTGAAATAGCATTAAATGCAAATAAAAATAAAACAAATTCAAAGATTCTTTGAAATGTTAAAAAATAAAAGTTGGTGTAATGCAAATCAACTAGGAAAAGTGAAACAAAACGAAAACAAAGTGCAGAAATTGAAAGTAAAAATCAGAAGCTTATAAAAATTTGTACCCATAATAAAGCAAATAACTGTAATCGAAAAAAATAAAAATTACACTAAAAATGAAAGATCTGAATAAGCAAAGGAATGGATAAATACGTGATAAATTGAAAAAAAAAAAAAAAATATTTAAATAAGAATTTTATCATATTGTCGCTTTAAAGAAATACAACAATTAAAAAATAACAAATAAATAAATAATTAAATACTTAAAAAGAAAAAAAAAGAATCTAAAAATAATTATATAAATGTACATTTTTAAATAAATTTTTAAATAAACTAATCAAATGGTAAACAAAAAAATAATCGATCACATATATAAATAATAAAATAAATAAACTATTTTGATAAATAACTTGGTTAATACTCATATATATAGATAATTAAATATTATACTTATATAAGTACTTAATCATATAAATCAAAGTCTAAATAGATAGATAAATATTTAAATAAAAAATTAATGAAACGCAAAAATATCTAATTAATAAAAATATAGTATATAGTTGATACTTCGGTACAGCTTTTTCGGTCGAATTAACAAATTTATAAATGAATAATAAAATAAATAGATGAGCACTGAAATTAATAAATAAACAAATAAAATATTGATATAAAACTAACAGGCAAGTAAATAAAATAAATAAAAATAAAGTCAAATAAAATATTGAAATTAAATATAAAACACAATTAATTAACTAAAAATAATAAATAAAAAAAAAACATAATCGAAATAATAAATAAATAAGCTAATAAAATGAATAATAAATTAAATAGAAAAATATTTAAATAATTAAAGTTATGAATAACTAAATTAAATACGCTAAAAGATAAATGTATAAGTTAAAATCAATAAAGAAAACCCTAAATAAAATGAACAAAAATATAAACAAAATAAAAAATAAATTAGCTAATAAAATAAATAAACAATAAAAGAAAAATTTAAACTTACATTAATTATATAAATAGATATTTAAGTCAAATATTGAGTTAATCAAATAAATTAATAAATAAACAAATAAGTAAATAAATAAATAAATAAATAAATTAATAAATAAATAAGTAAATAAGTAAATAAAAAAATAAATAAATAAAGAAATAAATAAGTAAATAAAAAAAATAAATAAATAAATAAATAAATAAATAAATAAGTAAATAAATAAATAAATAAATAAATAAATAAATAAATAAACAAATAAATAAATAAATAAATAAATAAATAAGTAAATAAATAAATAAGTAAATAAATGAATAAATAAGTAAATAAATAAATAAATGAATAAATAAATAAATAAATAAATAAATAGATAAAAAAATAAATAAGTAAATAAATAATTAAATGAATAAATAAAAGTATAAGCAAACAAAAAAAATAAATTAATTAACAATTAAAAAAATAATAAAAAAAACCGCTAAATGAAAAAATATTTAACTAAATATAAAAACAGATAGTTAAATAAAATATTGTAATATACCAAATGAAATAAATAAAAAAATACAAAAAGTAAACAAACATTTACAGAAATTAAAACATAAACAAATAAATAAGTAAATAATAAAATATAATTAATAAATATTTAAGCAAAATAATAAATCGATAAATAATGAAAAACAGTAAAAATAAAATAAATAAGTAAATAAATAACTAACTAAATAAATATATTTTAAAGTAAAATATTGATACAAACAAAGAGATAAATAAATAAAATAAATAAAATAATACACAAGCAAACATATAAATAAACAATTAAAAAAATAAGTACTTAAATACATAAATAGATTGTTAAATAAAATATTGCAATAAACAAATAATTAAATAAATAAAAATAAAATTAATAAATATTTAAGGAAATTAACAAAAAAAAAGTAAAATAAATAGAAAGTTACATTAATAAATAAAAATAATAAATAATTAAATAATATCATAAACAAATAAATTAATAAACAATCAAATAAAATTAATAAAACATTAATCAACAAAATAAAAACAAAAATCAATAAATAATTAAATAAAAAAAGATAAATAAGTAAAAAAACTAATTGTTTCAATCGATATTTCAGTAATATATTGATATAAACAAATGAAATTGAATAAATAAAAAATGAACAAGAAACAAATAAATTAATAAAAAAAAAAAAAAATTTAAATAAATTATTGACATTGGTTAATAAAAGAAATAAATAAATAAACAAAAATTAAATAAATGAACCAATAAATTAACAATTAAATAAATAAATAAATGTGTGAACCCCTAAATAGATTGTCAAATAAAATATTGCTAAAAACAAATAAATAAATATTTTAAGATATTAACAAATAATATATAAAATAATTAAATAAATGTTAAAATAAAAAAAATATAGCAAAGAATGAATAAATAAGGACAGCCATGCTATGTGACCATTAAGACACTCAAAATATCTCTGCTAAAATTAATATTATTTTTTTCCCAGCTTTGTTTATTATAATTTGTCATATACAAATTTAATAAGAGAAAAAATATTTTTGCATACCCTTTTGCTAGCTCTTTCTAAACAAAATGCTAACTCATGATATGCGCAACTCAGTGTGACGCGTGGAAAAGCAAAACGTGATTGTGATGTGAAAAGCATAATAAGAATTATTTAGAGAAAATAACAAAAATCGAAGATACACAATCATTAACATAAAACCAATTTAAAGTGTATACAAAAAAAAAAAATCAAATAAAATAAATAAAGACACCATAACGAAGCACAACCAAGCAAGTCATTTTCTGTAACTTTTTTTTTACAAGTTAAATAATTTACTAATAAAAAGCAAAATATTAAAACTTATTAGTGTGATAGAGGTTCTTCGTTTTCTTATTAAATCAAACAATAATGCATTTAGTTATTTGTTGTTTGTTTAACACTTGCTCACTTAAATTTAAAATCGCTTTACAGCTTTATAATAAAACACAAAATTTATTATAAAGTACAATGTGAAATATTTGTGGGTTTCTGAACATTTTTTTTTTTAATCATTTTCCTACGTAGCTAAATGTGGCTTTTCTTGGCATTTTTTGTGATTTTTACTTATTTTCCGATACAAAGTTTTCTGTGGTAAATAAATTTGGTTTTCTTTTTTTTATACATTTTTTATGCGTTTTTGCAAAGAAATTATGAGAAATTTATTTAAATAAAATATTTTATATGTAAAAGCTTAAAAAAATGTAAATTAATATACATTCATTGATAATGCAATGGATTATTTATTTTAATATTCATATATTTATGTTTAGTATTTTATGCATAAAAAATATATATTTAAATATTTTTTATATGCAAGTTAATTGATAATTATTTCTATCTACTAAATAATTTTAATTGATTGGTAAAATCAGAGAATTTTTCATTTTCGAGTTAACACACTGTTAGCTGTTTATTGTTTACTCCCTATCAATAACTGCTTTTACTATCTCCATGCATATTTATGTACGTATGTATGTGCTGTATGTAAATGATAACCCTTCAAAATGCTCTTTAACGGATTTATTAGCTCATGCAATCACTTAATTTATTTTTAATAAATATAACGCATGTTTTAAAATATTTTTATTTTACTCTATTCATCACTTCATTATTATTTACATTATATATTCATTATGTGTATATTGACATTAATTCTTATGTCTAATCAATTGTTTGCCTTTGTCTTTGGGTTAATCGCTTTTAATATATGTATTTTATTTATAAGCCATTTAATATTTTTCGATTTAGTAATGTTTGCAAAGTGAATTAAAGGCGCTAAATATGTAAATAAATACTTGTATTAATTTGTTATTAATTATATATGTATACATATGTATACATATTTCGATATAGATATTTATTAATTTTTATTCAATTATAGCAATGAAGTGAACTTATATATATATTTTGTCTCTTTTTTACTATTTTATTGTTGAAAAAGTTCGAGATTTCGTTTTGTCTCTGTCAAAAGCTCTGCTGACGGTTCTTTACATTAATTCTTTAAGAACTACAACATAGTATTTCTTGGACATTTTCAAATTTTTATTAAAAAATGTTTCAAACAAGTAGTAGTTTTCATGTCGAAAGACACCAAATATATCAATTTTAATTCCATCTGCTTAAGTTAAGTCCATATGGGCTTAAGCAGTTTAATTTTCTAAGCAATTTTTTTAATATTTAACATACTCACTTTATACCCTTAATTATCTTGGATTTTTTCATTACAGGTATCGACAGACACGTTTCAGCTCGCGACGTGTACGAAAACGTGTCATCTTCAAGCATGGCGAGTGTAATGTGGTTCAAGGGAATGTGGCGAAAAGACGACGCAGGTATCTGCAGGTGAGTGATCGGGGAGGAAATTCAAAAATTATATACGCAACAATTTTTGTATGGCAAATCAATAAATTGTGTTTAGGAAATTTTAAATTTTTATAGCAAACAAGTGTTATCCAGCTGTGTTGCGCTACACCAAAACAAATACTAAAAAAGTGAAGAATCCTATAATATTTTCATAGCATTAATATTTCGATCATTTGTTTTGCTTTATAAGTTTTGTTCATAATTTTTGACTGAAAACCACTTTTTAAATTCTATGAAAATATCCATCGAGAATCCTAGAATGATTTTTATGCTTCATTGTAAATTCACTCCCAGCAAAAGGTTTCGTTTTCGAGTTTTTTTTTTCTTGAATTTGGTAAAGTTTTGTGTAGCCGTTCTCAGGCCACAAAGTGCCAAAGCAACCGTTCGTCAATTAATAGAATGTGAATCTAGTTAGTATGGAAGGTACCATGCCCCCTTCCGAAAACGGTGCTCATGCTCAGGTTATCTGGCAACCCCAAAAACGAGTACTTATGCTTATATATACGATTTAATCGCATATAATGTTATGATATATGGAATATAGAGCTAAACATTTCGTGGTTTAAAAAGTACAGAATTGTATTTTGACATGTGTCAAACTTGACTGTCATACAGGATATGAATGAATGAATGAAACGCTTATAAGCCGGACAACATATTAATATTGTTAAAACCTACTACCAAAATGGAGACTCAAACCTGATCACGTTTCGGTGAATTTTCAAAAAAAAAAAAAATATTTTTCTTCACCGGTGAGGCTTATTTCTTACACGGGTGATAAATATATTGTGCCATTAATTCTTTCTTTTCGCTGTTCGGCGTCAATTGGTGATATTAAATACAGCAGGTCCTTCTCTTGCTGGTATTTTTAATGGAGTGGAGTTCTTCCCCTGTCTCTGCTTCCATCGGCGGATATTGCATCGAAAACATTCAAACCTAGAGTACTCGCATCAACGTTTCTTGATTCACTAAATTATGTATGTAATTTTATCAATGTGCACTCAACAGATGTCATAATCCATGCTTCTGCACCCAATAATGTAAATTACATTGGCGTACGCCAGTAGAAGTTTATAGAAGATTGTGCTTTCTCTACTCAGCTCTGCAGCTCGTTTTATTTTCTACAGCATCAAATTGATGATATCACACGGTAAGCAAGGTGACTCGTCTGAAAACTCGTTTGGTATCGAACGGCTTGGAGAGTTCCATCCATTATCTGACGGAGCTGTTAGTGTTGCTTAAGGTCATTTTACATAGTCGTATAAGTTTTGCGGAGATACCAAATTCAGACATTTTAGGCGTAGAGGCAACTCTTTTTCGTGCTATCCAAGGCTGCTTGAAAATCGACGAAGAATTGATGTGTATCGATCCTCTTTTCACGGGTCTAAGCCCGCACTGATAAGTTCCAATCAGTTTGTCGACGGTGGGCTTTAGTCTTTCACACAATACCCACCAAGCTTACAGCTTATCAGTGCTTCACAGTCGTATTTGAACAGTTCGGTCGACAATGCATCGACACGAAAACTGCTAGACTTTCACTTTTGGTTTCATCATGCTACACAAGACGAGCGTATATGGCTTTATTGCGAGAGAACCATCCCGGCCACGTAACCTCTCGTCTTGGCAATGTCAATTGGCCAAGGAGATTTTGTGATTTCGGACCGTTGGACTTTCTTTATTCATTTCAGAATTCACGAGGCGGTCATTTGAATGATGCAGTGTTTCACATACGAGTACAATTACAAGGTTCCATCTTCAATAAAAAAAAGAGTGTACGCATATTTAAATATGTCAAGGCTGAAGTATCCTCTTCAGTTCTTATAAGTTAACCACAGCAACAAGTGTCAACTGCAAAATGTGTTTTTACTCATCTTGCTTTAAGTCGCTTCAGCTGTAGTTGGTGGTTTCATTTTTGTAGTTTTTCTCTGCTCGCGCTGTTAAATTTCATTACTTACAGTCTTTTGCTTCGTGTTCTTGTTGCAAATTGCTGCAGATGCAACTAAACTTCTGCTGTATTTAGAGCATTCAATATCATTTGCAGTGACAGCCAATGTGTCGTCAACAGTGCCATTGTTAATTGTCGCTGCGGCAGTCGTTATTGGATCTGCTAATCTTTTTATAGCAATAACCTCATTTCGCTTCACGTTTTCTTCGTATGCATGTACATACATACATTTATAAATATCTATAGGTGTGTGTATGCATATTTCTGCATTTCATTTGCTTTTATTTTTATTTTAATTTTTTTGTTCTTTGTTTTTGAAATTTTTTATTTCACTTACTAGTGCCCTTCATACGTGCTTTTGAATGAGTAATTTCTACTACGCGCTCTGAATTGAGATGAGGCGCTCTATACGTGTATTACAATACATTATCGAAAATAGTTTCGCTGAGTGGTACGAGATCCCCTTTGGTAACAAAGTTGTGACACTTCAAATGGCGACGCGCAACAAGGTCACGTGGTTTTTTGTATTACCAAAACGTGCTACTTGTTGCGCACAGTTTTATGCAACACTCATACATATGTATGTAGGTATGTGCCCTACGAACAACGCGAGTACTCCCCGCACGCGCTAATACCAGAAAGTATACGGAAATTTGTTTTTTTTCGATATTCGCGGTTTGGTTCATCATTAATGTGTTCCAAAGGGACAAACGGGCAATAGAGAGTTTTATTTGAGCGTTGTGAGGCGTTTGCTTGAAAACATTCGTAAGCGGCTGGAATTGTGAGCCAGCAATTTCTGGAAACTCACATGACGATGATGCGCCATTACACCGAGCTGCAGTTGTGAACGATTTTAAGACCAAAAACACGTTCATGCCAACGATCAACCATTGTATTCACCGGATTTGATCCCAAGCTATTTTTTTTCTTTCCAAAACTCAAGTTACCACTCCGTGGTACTTCTTTCGACTCCATTGAGGCCGTAAAAGAAAATTCGCAGAGGGAACTGAAGTCGACTGATTTCAACAGAAATAAACTGTTAGACAGATTGCGCTCATTTTTTTTTATATAATAATTAAGGACAGTGCTACCAACTTAAAGAAAAGTGCTGAAAAATATTCAGCTTAGGCAGTTGAAATGACAATTTTTGAAAACTTCTTGCGGACAACGGAGAACTCCAGAATTAACCAAAAATCATACAAAAAATATTGTCTAATTAACATGACGTTATGCTGGGGCTGGATTGTATACTGCACCTCTGCATATCTTCGGAGTAAACCGTGGATTACCTGCAGAAACTCAGTTGTGAAACTGCTCCACAAAATCACTTCATGGAGTACCAAAATTGGGTTACATTATGAAGGATTTACGAAAAATTACATTCGAACGTTCTTTTTGAGATTCGAACACAGTGAGTCTTGGAGAAAAGCTAGTAAAATATAATATTTGTCAAATGAATTTAATTATAATAATTTATTACTAATTTATTATGCGAAAACATATCTCAACTTGGAAATTTGTTTTTTTATCGTTGTAATGTATTAGCTCATACATCTGCAAGTCATCTGAGTACCAGCAGAGCTCCCCTACGAAATGAAATTGACCCAATTTTATTTTCATACATTATTTGTATAGAACACAATTTTGTTTTTATTTATCCAATTTTGTTTAGTTATATATATATATAATAAAATATACAGAGTACGGCACTCGAAGTATAACCAATAGCAACGGCCATAAATTCTGTTTGGAAAATTACTTTTAAACAATTCAAAGTATAAAATGTGTGAAAGAAATACAAAAATCGGAAACAATTTACCTTTGTTGGATATAACCACGTTTTGCCTAGACTATGGGCTTGAGATGGTCCAAAAACGTATCGCAAACTGCACGAATGGGATTTGCAGGTATTCTGGTACACTCGCGGACAACGGCTTTCTTTAGCGCATCGAGACTAGTGGTATCTTTTAGTTCGGACTTTACTCTCTAAAATGGTCAAAAGAGAATAATCCATCGGATTAGCATCTGGTGAATTCGACCGCCATTGTGACTAATTTATAAAGTTCGGAACGTTGTTTTTCAGCCATACTTGCTTCACTCGAGCTTAAAGGCACGGTGCTGAGTCCTATTGAAACGTCCACGGTCTACCACCTAAATGGTATTTCGCTCACGCTCATACTTGCTACTGTTTGGGTGTGAGATCATGTGCCTTATGGATCTTATAAGGCTTGACTTTAAGATCATGGAAGAAATGTATTGCGACAACGATGGCGGCTTATCGAAAAGACATCATTGCATTTGTTGTGCATCTCTGCATTCATGACTTGAAACATGAAATTAAATTTGTAATTGCAGCCACGGAGCGCCACATAATCGAAAAGGTTAAAAATGTGGTGCCAGGCAGAAATGAATAGACGTCCAAATGATTGAAGGTGAAGTGAAAAACATGGCAATGGAATGGCGGCCGCGGTAGCCGAGTGGTTAGCGTTATGTTCTGACATTCGAAAAGCTCGGGTCCATATCCCGGTGCCACCAACATCCAAAAAAATTAGTTTAAAAAAAAAATTTAGTTAAATTTTCTAAATGTGGTCGCTCCTCGGCAGAAAATGTCCACCCCTCCGAGTGTATTTCGGATATGAAATACAGGCTCCTCGTAAAAAACCTTCAGCCGTTCGTAGGCGGCTTAGTATAAACTGTAGGTCCCTCAATTTGTTGGAAAAAAATTAGGACTCTAAAACCACAAATTAGAGGCGGAGCTCGGCTGAAAAATCGCTTCAGCGGTTACAAAGCGCCAATCATATACATATATATGTAATTGAGAGAATATCAAATATTAAAAGATTTGAGAGAATATCAAATATTTGAGACAAAAGTATTGTATTTATAGTCACATCCGACTATTTTTGAATTTCATTTCACTTTTTTACAATCGTAAAATTAAGTAATAACATTTTTTTCGGTTTCTTCTTGCAGGATATCTTTACCACACTGGTCGATGCACAATGGCGTTGGACGATGTTGGTCTTTGCGCTTAGCTTTCTCATCTCATGGGCGTTGTTTGCATTCGTTTGGTGGGTGATCGCCTATGCACATGGTGATTTCGAGTATATTTACAATCGTGATTTCCATCCCGAACTCAATGTGAATGTAAGCCATCGTATGTGCGTAACGGAGGTGCGTAGCTTTGTCTCGGCTTTTCTCTATTCGGTGGAAACACAAACAACTATCGGCTATGGTAATCGCTATGTGACCGAGGAATGCCCAGAGGCGATATTCATAATGTGTCTGCAGTGTATATTGGGCGTATTCATACAAGCATTTATGGTTGGCATTGTGTTTGCCAAATTGTCGCGTCCAAAGAAACGCGCACAAACTTTACTCTTTTCGCGAAATGCTGTGATTTGCCATCGGGATGGGGTGCCATGTCTGATGTTTCGGGTGGGTGATATGCGAAAGAGTCATATAATTGAGGCGCATGTGAGGGCGCAGATTATAAGAAAGAAGGTTGGTGGCGAGTTTTTTATCTAATGTTTACAATCAAACAGATATGCTTACATACCATATCCTTGATGAATTCCAGATTACAAAGGAGGGCGAAATATTGCCATTTTATCAGCAAGAGTTGACGGTGGGCGCAGACGGTGGCGAAGATCGTCTTATGTTCATTTGGCCAACAACAATTGTGCACAAAATCGATCGTAATAGTCCGCTGTATATGCTTTCGGCATCGGATATGTTGAAGGAACGATTCGAAGTTGTCTGTATGCTGGGTAAGTGAGCTGATGATTTTGATTATGTAAATCAAAAAAAAATTAATTCTCTCTTTGCTTTTTGCTATTTCTCCTGTAGAGGGCGTTATTGAGTCCACCGGCATGACGACACAGGCGCGCAGCAGTTACCTACCATCGGAGATCCTTTGGGGTCATCGTTTTGTGAATGTGGTCTCGTTTCGTAAGGAAACGGGCGAATATGAAGTGGACTACACGCTCTTCAATAATACCTACGATGTGGATACACCACTGTGTAGTGCAAAACAATTGGATGATGTGAAGGCTGAATATGCGAAAAATTCCAAATTGGGCTTAGGTAGGTTGCAAGGAAAGATTCTTTTTTTCTGTAGTGTACGTCTTGACGTCCATCCTACAATTGGTTGAATAACTTTTTTCGAAGGCGCTTAACGGCTAATTGGCTTACGCTGGATGTTTTTGTTTTCATATTAGAAATGTTGTAATTTTGTATGCATGCTTGAGTCAGTGCTCGAATCCGCTCGACCCTCCTGAAAAGAATGGTATATATGTTTTTTAAACTCTCAAGTACTTGAGACTAAACATTCTCAGCAACCTGCCGTGGAACCATTAACTTTAATCGCTGCAGTTGGCCAAATTTTCGTCTGTGATTGCGAAGTCCTGCCGTCTTGTGGTGATTAGCCCAAGATCAGAAAAACTGCTTCTCTCATAACGCTTGTTTCTTTTCCAGGTTATGACTTCCCATTATTTCAAAGTCCTCCCTACGGCTCTGATCGATGTGCTATTTCCACCGAAGTTTTCTCAGCTGCATTCCGTAAAATCTGATTTAGTTCGTAATGACTTTAATGAGTAACATAATCGCCTATGTATACTTAAAGGGATGGCGCGGCTCGTCTCTCCGTCGATCCGTCCGTGAAGACTATAACCCAAGTAGGGATAGGTCTTTTCTTTATTGAACTTGGTTCATATATTCTTAGCAGTGGGTGATATCGGAGCGCACGCCTATCTTCCATATAACGGTAATTTTGAAAAGTGAGAAAATTTTGTTAATTCAGTAAATAATATTTGGAAAACGGATACAAATTTGTGGTGGATGTGAGGCCACCCATTTTTGGGTCAAAAGGTTTTCTCCTCTGCCCAATAGCTTCTGAGATATAGCTATTGGACAGAGGAGACAACGGACTTTGCCCTCCAATATTTCCACAAGATCGGATACTTAAGGCATTAATCAACAGACCAATCGACGAAACTAGGATACCAGAGTCCCATCAAAAAAGGCTGACATTTCAGGTACAAATATGGAACTATTTCTTCCTCTTCCTGCTTGATGCCAATTGACAATACCAAGTACGGTCAGGTGCTTTTCTAGCTGGTCTAGCCAATGGAATGGCGTATTCATATCCATCCGGTCCACGTGACCTAACCAGCGCAGCCGCTGCTTCTTGACTCGCCGGACTATGTCAATGTTCTAGCTCATAATGGCCATAAATCTAATACTAAAACTTTCTCTCGTAAATATTTAACTCTGACCCAACAGATATTATCATAGAGCTGGATAGGAATGATAAGTTTTCCATCGTCGAGAGAGGACTTTACTTTTCAATTGCCTACTCAGTCTGCGTTGAATTTCCAGGCTAACATTGTTGCTTGGTGTTAAAACTGGTTCCAAGATAGACGAAGTTATCTACGTCTTTAATGTTATGACTGTCAATATTTGCGTGGCAGCGGAGTCGCGAATGTGACGACTGTTTGTTTGGTAGCAGGAGATATTTGGTCTTACCCTCGTTCACTACCAGACCCATATCTTTCCCTTCCTTATGCAGTCGGGAAAAACAGAACTCACGGCGTAACAGTCCTTACTTTTAACCGAACTGTCGATTTAAATGAATGAAAATCATCCGAATATTTAATGTTTGAATCTACACGAGTTTAGTATCCTTTAATTATGGCTGACATTCTCTGAGCATATTATAGAATTAGGTTATCTGTTTGCAGCCGCTTCTATGCAGAGCTTATCAATAGGTCAGACTAAGTTATCGTAGGCGGCCGCTAATAGATGGGTGGTGGAGTCAGGTTAGAGTCCAGGTTGGATCAATACCCAAAATTATAAAAATAAAATTTGTCTAATTGCGGTTGATACTCGGCAGGCTATGTCAAGCCGTTCGGATGTGGCTACATACTTCACTAATAAGTGGAGCTTAGTATTAAAATTTATATGCCAGACTTGCAAATATATGTTTTTCTATCTAAGAGGGATTTCTTAAAGTTTATACGTACATTTTAACCACCTTTTCTCTCCTTATTTTTAGAACGTGCTTTCTCCGCCGGTCTCATGCATATACCGTCCACCATATCTGTGGATCGTCTGGATCCGAATAGCGATGAGTCGTTGGACTCACGCCTACACACACGCAACAATTCCATCCCCAATGGGGTGTTAGCCGAGGAGCTGCAACCGTTGAATTGTGGTGGCGGTGGCGGTGGCGGTGGTAGTACCAACGGTAGCTACCATTATGTGCCGCCATCATTCACAGTCGGCGGTTCCGCGATACAATTACCCTCGCTGGCACTCTCCACAAATCTACATAGTATTAATGAGAAAACCAATTCCGGCAGCAGCAGTAGCAGCAGCACTAATAATCTCACCATTACACCCAACGCTACACCGAATACACTCTCACCAGCGATGGCGAATACAACATACAATAATAACAACAATAATAATAATCATAACCATGATAAGAGTAATAGCGGTAGTGGTGGTGGTGGTGGTGGTGGTGGTGGCGTAAAGAAGACACCATCAAGTAGTCGACGATTATCGATAAAACAAGATCAATTATCGGTTGATTCGATTTGCTGATATTGGCGCCGACGTCTACGAAATGCGGCAAGAGTGAGGAGTGTGATAAAGAAGGGCGTACAAGGATTGCACTAAACGGAGGGTTATTGAGAGCAGAGAAGAGAGGGGAAGAGATATATGATTTATGACTTGATTTGAGGCAATTGTGCTGTTTGCCTGAATTGTCGTTTCGTGAGTTTTCTATAATCGACTGACTGCTTTCATTTGTTTGCTGGATACACCGTTTTTATTGCAAATAATTTAATATACATATAAATATTTTTTTTTTTGCTAAAATTAAGTAAAGAAAAACACACATTATTAATTAATATTTAATTACAAAATAATTATGTAAAAAAAGTGTTTACAGCTTTAATTGTATTTGAAAGTCATAAGCGCAAATAACGTTAGTTTTTAAAATTATAGTAAGTTAAGTTGTTAGTGAAAAGTTGAGAGTGTATTTTCGAAGTAATTGGTTGTATTCGACGGTGTGATGTGACAATATTTAACGGTATAGACAAAGTCATTTGAAAAAAAAAAACGGAAATAATAATTGCAACGCAATAAGTGAATAATTTAAAATGTAATAGTTGGTAGAAGAGAATGTGAGTTCAATATACGCTCCTCCGCAGATCGTATAATTGCCCATAAATCGATTAATGCTGAGTCGATTGTTGACGATTAATCAACCGCAAGTGAGCTCCTGCAAATTTTTGCCTTATTTCGTCCGTTTAACGTCCCTTTTCCATGTTTCTTACCCATATGTATGTATGTACATATGTTTATGCTTGTTTTCGTATCGCAAGAATTTATTACTGTAATAATAGTATGTATACAATTTATTAAGTAAAACATAATTATGCTCATGAAAGTTTTATTTTTAAACTTTCCCAGACATACCGTAAATATATGCCAATGCTGATTAAAAGAAAAAACGAAATAAAAAAAATTCTTTACGATATTCCAAGCTTGTAGAAGGCAGGGCAAAAGCTTATGCTGCAAATTCTTAAGTCATATAATTTCAACTTATTTTTTCACAACACTTTCTGATTTTTTTTTTTTCGAAAATAGCAGTTTTAATTTTCTTTTAGTATTTAAGCTTACTTCTAAGAGCTGAAATTGATTTTGTTTTTAAATAAATTGTTAGTTTTTAAAAAAAGCAAAGAAAGCAAAAAAATCATGAAATTCAAAACTAGTTGTGGAAAAGACCTTAGAAATCTAAAAAAATGTATAGAGTTTAATTAAAAACTGTAAATTACGTTAATCAGTTTCATAGTCTTATTCGTTTTTAAAATTTATGTCTATTTTATAGCCTACAATTAGGCGAAAATCAGAATTATAAGTAACACAAATTATTTTTGTATAACTGTAAATTTTAGTTGATGGTGAAGAAAATAAGTAACGGAAGTTTCTAAATTTTTTTCAAGTAACACTCAAAAACGAGTTTGTTTCGGAACTGAATAATGTTTTTTTTATAACTGGAGAAATTTAACGCTCAATAACTATAGCCTACCTAGGCATGAAACGAATTTAAAAATGTATACAAACATGCATACGCAAATAAATTAACACCGTTACATACACACGCAGGCTAATGTATGCACACAAGTGAAATGAAAATTTTTGGAGAGACTCAAGCGTAAATCAGGCAATTAAAAAATATTTCTATATACATACATATATATATTTTTAAAAACAGAACTTCCAAAAATTATACCGTAAACACATTGTTTTATGAATTTGAATGTGTTATAAAATATTATTATACATGTATTTGTGCTTTGTATGTGTATGTGTATTGAAAAGACATTTACTGCTCTTTTTTGTAGATTTTGAGAAGAGAAAAAACAAAACAAACACATGAAAGTAAATAAAAGTAATTTGAAAAAAAGTGAATGATTTTAAAATTAGTTAATAAAAGGCAAAAAAATTTAATTTGAATTTTCTACAAAATCTCTGTGACTTGGCGCGGTAGGTTAAATAATTTTAAGGATATTAAATATTGCCATAATATTGAAAGTATGTGTGTATTACATATGAATGTATTCGGTGTGTGTATGTTAATAAAATTGTCGAATGTGTTCTGAAGAATTTTATAAAAATTGAAAAAACTATATTGAATAAATAAGAGAAAAATCACAAAAAAAAAAAAAGAATCCAAATTATACACATATACAAAGAACTACACAAAATGGCCAAAAAGAAGTATTACGACATGCTAAATTATACACTAAATATATTTATGTAAATAGTATATATCAACATGTGAGAAAACAAAAAGTAAAAAAAGAAAAAAAAAAATACGAAGAAAAAGTTTGAATATTGAATAAAACACGTTTGAGTAAAAGCAAACTGAACGTGGCGTAAAAAAATTATTATTGTGTTTTTTATTTGTTAAAAAAGTGCAATCAATGGGTGGGAATATACAGATCCCAGAGAAAACTGCCCTGGACTTTAAATTATATTACAATTATAATTTAGTGCTGATAATGTTTAATTTTTTTTCTGTTTTCCGAATTAAATAATGGCCTATGGAAACAGTAGTGGTGAAAATATATGTTCCATCTGAGCTGCTTTTTAGTCTTTATGGCATATTTAAGCGCGTAAAAATGCCATGAGTTAAATAATAACCACGGGCTTACTATTTCATTGCATGCCTTTAGGCGCATACTTGTACATATTAGAAAATAATATAAAAATACATATATATGTATGTATTAATTTGAAAGAAGTTTTTGTAACATTTAAACACCTTAAATTATGCCTTGAAACGATTTAAATTACTTTTTAACCTAATTTTTTTAAAAACTTTTTTTAATATCAATAGACCTTTTGTGGCATCATAGGATGTCATTAATCACACGCCGAATACGTAGCAAAATTAAAGTTACAACATTTTGACTAGAAGCATAGGAGCTGCTGCTAAACATTGAAAATAGAAAATTTTTTAAGCAAAAAGAAAAAAAAACATATGGTTTAAGTAAAAATAAATCACAAAAAAATAATTTAAATAAAACAAAGTAAAAAAATTAAAAAAATATAATAAAAAAAATTAAATTATGAAATTAAATTAAAAAATTTAATAAACAAAAAATTAGATTAAAAAAAATAACATATAATAAAAAAAAACTCAAATGAATACAAAACAAAATAAAATAAAAATAAAAACAAAAGGAAAAAAAATAACAAAAGATAAAACAATATAAAATAAACTAAAAAATAATAAAATAAAATTATCTAGTTAAAAAAAACATGAGACAAAATGAAATAAAATAAAATAAACAAAATCAAATAAACTAAAATAAATTGAATTAAAATAAAATTAAGCAAAGTAAAATAAAATATAACATAATACAAAATTTAAAAAAAAAAATTAAATAAAATGAACTAAAATAAAGTAAATCTAAATAAAATAAATTAAAAAAATTAAAATTATTGAAATGAAAATATTAAATAAAAAAACGAAATAAATCTAAATTAATTAATAAAATATAAAATAGAATAGAATAAAATGAAATGAAATAAAATAAAATAATATAAAAAAATAAAATTAAATTAAGTAAAACGACATAACATAAAATAAATTAAAATAAATGAAATAAGATACAATAAATGAAATAAAAAATAAAATAAATTACAATAAAATAAAATAAAACTAATAAAAAAAATAAATTCAATTCAATTAATTAATATGATATACAATAAAATTAAGTAAATAAAATAATTTAAAAAATAAAATAAAGTAAAATGAAATAAAATAAATTTAAATAAAATTAAACAAAACGAAATTTAATAAAAAAAAAATAAAATTAAGAAATGAAATAAAACCAAATAAAATAAGTTAAAATGAGGTAAAATAAAATAATATGAAATGGAATGTAATATGTTTGAGGAGGATTTTTCTGCAACCATATGTGGATATAAATCATTAATTCTCTATACAACGTTTATTCTGCAAATAATCTTAAATGCGCTAAACATACTTAAATTTATACATATACATATATATATATAATTGGTGATTTTTAGCAGCTGAAGCGATTTGTAGTGTGCGTCTATTCTGTTTTTCCAACGAGACCTACAGTTTCTATTAACCAGTTTAGTATGTTGGTCTGACCAGGTCTCGAAACCAGGTCTTCCGAATGGCAGTACACAATGCGGTAATCCGGTCGGCTATCACAGCCGCATATCCTTAACTACTATTACTCTAGGTTGATTCTTTCTTTATAGTGTTATATAACAGGGTTGTTACATGGTATATATTGTTTTCAATTCCGTATTTTAATAAAATGAAGTAAAATAAAATAAGGAATTCAAATGAACTTCATTTAAAAGAAAAAATAAAAATAAATAAAAAATGATGCTAATTGAATTGAATCATTATATAGTGAATAAAAAGTAAATACAATTGAATTGAAAATGGAATAAAATGAAATAAAAAAAATTAAATAAAATAAAAAAGCAAAAAACAAAAGATAAAAATAAATATAAATACTTTTATATATGTACGTGTATATTAAACCCTAACGGCCAAATTTACTAAGTTTACTGTTTCAAATTCCCCTTCTAAAAATTTTATTTTAATTTGTGATTCAGCAAACTTAATTTCCATTTCAACTATAACCAAGTATACATATACTCGAATAAGGGATAGCTTTATGTTTGTATGCTCGTTTGTATGTATGTATGTAATTTTATGTTAGTGTGTGATTGTGCTTATTTAAGCAAGTGTCCAGATCGTGCCAGTAGCACCTCAGCTTCCGCATTTGCTTGCCTAAGTTCATAATCATTCATAATCAAATGCTTCACTGCTTGTTGATGTTGTTGTTGTTGTCATCACAAAACCATATTAACATTCTGTCGCATTTCTATTGTGATAAAAATGTTTCCCTGCTGACGATACTGACGTTGATTCACTGATTATTCAATTATCACAGCCGGAGAGCAAAAGAGTCGCAGCATAGAGATGAAGTCGGTATATTCGTTGATGTTGCATACAAAGCTGTGCACGACGTACACATACATGGATACATACAGTTATTTTTTGAAACAGAAAAAAACTCAAATAATTTTCAGACATGCAGAGAAAGTTCTTCTGATTTGGAACTCAAAATTCATCTTTATAAACAAACTTTTATTTCAAGAAAATTAACAATCCCAGCTGAGGTCAAAAAATTAATTTATTTGAATTTATAAAATAATATCGTTGCGCATAAATCGTTTTTATTCTTATAATTGCAATGCTTTTGACAAATCAAATAAATGGTCGCCAAACATAATTACTTAACAAAGATTTTCCGTTGAGTTTTTTGTTGTATCAATTTTATTTACTAATATTTTTTTTGCACTATTATTCACAAAATATTTCATTGTCTATATATTATTAAAGTACTAAATATCATCTTCACAGCCGATTTTTACAACACAAAAAATATACATGCGAGAATGTATTTCTGTGTATGTGTGTGTGTATGTGATGTAAAATAAATATCAGTGTCGAAATTCATATCATAAATCTCAGCAAAAAGCGCTGGGGTGGTGATTTGCCTTATTGCTTTTGTTGTTTCGGATCTAGTATTTAAATTTTGCGGCTAATAAATCAATGGAGTGTGCTATTAGTGAAATAGGAAACTATAATTCATTTCATATAGGCTGTTTTGTGCTCAATAGTATTGCTCGGTATACTATATGCAACTGTATTGTAATATTATATTTAGGGAAGATTTAGAGTGTTTTTGTGACCCGCAAATAATAATGTATTTATATACAGTAATTTGAAAGTAATTGATTTCTTTTTGCTTTTTCGTCGATACTTCTCTGTTTTAATTTAATTAAATTTCGTTTTATTTATTTTAATTAAATTTGTTTTTAAAATATTTTTATTTTACTGTTTTTAATTGAATTTAATTTTATAGGATTTGAAAAATGAAATAAAATATTTTAATTTTAACACAATAATTAATTTAACATAATTTTAACTATAATTTTACTTTATGTTACTTTACAGTATACTTTCATTTAATATTATTTTAATTAATTTTATTTTATTTTATTTTAGAAATTTATATGAAAATTTTCTTTATGTTCTTTTTTATTTTAAATTAATTTCATTTTATTCTATTTTATATTGTTTGATTTTAAATATTTCTATTTAATTTTACTTTTTTTAATTTATTTTTATTTTTTAATTTTATTTGGTTTTTTTTTGTTTTTTTTTTTAATTAATAAAATTTAACATTTTTTATATCTTAACTCATTTAATTTCATTATATTTTATTTTGCTTTAATTTTTTGTTTAAATTTATTTCAATAATTCTAGTTAATAAGGTTTCAAATTTTTTGAATTAACTTAATTTCATTTTATTTTTATTACTTTAATCCATTTTGATATATATTTTCCTTTATGATATTTTATTTGATATTTCATTTCAGTTAATTTAGTTTATTTATGTTTTTGCTTTATTTAATTTTCTTTTTTTTTAATTTTTTTTTTATAAAATTAAAACTATTTATATTATTTTATTTTATTCCATTTTATTTATTTATGTTTTGTGGCTTTGTTTAATTTAATTTTGTTTCATTTTATATTTCTTAAATTATTTTTATAAAATTTAGAGTATTGTATATTATTTTGTTTTGAAAAATTTATTCTATTTAGATATTTTATTATATTTTATGATATTTTGTTGTTTGTGTCTTATGTTAGTTTCGTTTATTTTTGTTAAGAAAATTTTATTGGTATTCAGTTTTTTTGTATTTCACTTATAAAATTTGTTTTCTTTCATTTTCTATTTCTTAAATTAATTTTGGTTTTTTGGTTTAAGTTTTATGAAACTATCTCAGACCATATGTTTTTGGAAATATGTGAAAATGTTAATATGTTAATTTTTAAGTATTATATTTTATTTTGTATTACCTCATTACATTTTATTTATTACGCTTCATTTTATTTTATTTTAATTTATTTTATTTTATTATATACTTTTTATTTATTGTATTTTATTTTACTTAATGTTATTTTATTCTAATTTTTTTTTTAATTTTTATTTGCTAAATTTTGGTGTATTTTAATTTGTTTTTTTTCACTTAGTTTATTTAATTCAATAATCTTAATATTTTGCTTGTATTCTCTGTTATCTGAATTTATTTGAATTTACTTTACTTGATTTAATTATATTTTATTCTATTTAATTGTTTTTTTTTCATTTTTTTTTCGTTTCTTTCAAGAGCTTTGTTAAGCTTAAATATTTACTTTAATCCCTTCAGTTAAGTTTGGACATACAATGCATTTCTAAGCTACCATTGATGGATGAGATTTTGATTTCTGGGGTAACTAGTAGATCGTCTATGCATTTCTCTTTTCTCTCTCTAGCTTAGTTCGGCGATCTCACCAATATTTCAAAAGTAATTCATTGCATTTATAGAGCAGACTCCCGTGCATTACCTCATAGCTCGTTTACACCCTTGTAAGTTGAGAAAAAAAGAATTATTACATCTTTGACTATCTTTTTAACTTAAAGTGTGTATTTTTGCATGTCTTTGAGCATATGTACGTGGGTGTAAAGCCCATACACAAACGTTACGATATGATTCACTACACACATATAACAATTTATAATTCTAATATACATCTTTATAAATCTATAAATGTTAATAATATTTACATGTATCTGTAGGAATACATACATACATATTTGTAATTTCGCGTCTGTCAAGTGTTTTGTCACTGTGGTTTCTCCAGCCATGCTATATTGTTGCTACTATTATTGCTATTGTTGTTGATGATGATATTCTCAACGAGCCATACATACTCGTATGTACATTCCAATAACAAACAATCAACACAGTCGACTCGTCCACTCATTTGCTCAGTCCATGTCAGTTTGTCCCTCAGTACACGTGTGTCCAGTTCATATAACAGATGTGATCGTGTCACTGGAACTGTCGGTATGCAAACAAAATTGTCGTTAAAATCATAGTTTAAAAGTTGAATTTTGAAATTTGATCGGGTAACCGGCAGGGTTTTCAACTCAATAAGGATAATTTTAGTATTTTTTTTTTCCGATTAAAAATTGTTTGGATATTGTGGATAGTAAACATTTACGAGTGTTTGTTCGTTTATATACAACAAATTTGGGTTGTCGGGAAATTATGCTCTGAGTAGTGCGAAGTAATCTGATTTTCAATGTCATGCCATCGTATTGGCATTAATATAACTGCAGTTTTCAAGTGAATGTGCTAATTTTTTTCAAGTACCCACTGATACCGATTGGAGAAGTGCTTTATTTTCCACTTGCCTTGGGCTTAAAGTATTTACAAATTATAAATGTAAGTAACCTAATAACAGTAAATGATGTTTAATATGTGATTTGGAATTAAAAAACAATAATACAAAGAGCTTCCTTAAGTTTTTAATTGAATATATTATATAGTGAAGTATCTACGAGTATAAGCAAGAGTCGTTGAGTAAAAATTCTACTTAAATTAAAGAAATATTTTAACTTAGTTTTTGTACCTTATATACATGCACACAACTTCTTGATTACGGTAACCTTTTGGAACATATAAAAAGTGTAGTGATGATTAGGAAATAATAGAATATACTACATTTAGATGAAGTGTCTCCAAATGGTGGAGAAATCCAGTTGTGATTCGAAAAGTTATTGCCCAGAGCGCAGTCAACAGTCCTTAGAAGAATAGGCAAAACTTCCTATTTTCTGCACACAATATTGGTGTTTCCTATAGGAGGAGTTTTATTGAATGGCCTGCCACTCCGGTGGATTTAAATTTGAAACTGTAATTGTTTGAAATATGGCAAGTAAAAAATATACCAGTAATAAAAATGGAACGATGGACGCTTCAACAATACACTGTAATTATCAAAATTCACTATAAAAAATGTGAAAACATGGCAGCGACTGTTAGTAAAACTGAAACACTTTTTGGTCGTCCTGAAGGACCTTGACGGACTGAAATACAGGAATTGGTGGAAAAAATGGAGCTGTTGGTACAAATTAGTGATGTGAAGAATAAAATACGTGTACGGCGCTCAAAAATAGTTGACAAGATTGCTGATGTAGTCCAAAGTGTTGGAAAAACCGCAGTTTTGTTCATTCCTCGTCGTTACTTGGAATTGGGCATTCCGAAAACGTCGTTACAGCCTTAAGGCTTGTAGAGTTCAATTAACATAAGAGCTCTATCGAGACAATGGTTAGATTTACATAAAATTCATATTGTTCAGGAAGTAGACCAGATACAGATCTTCATGAGATAAATATTTGTAAGTTGCGCACTAAGTCGAACTTTTTTACGAAGTTATGTTTTTGTCTAGTTAAAAAATGTTTGTCTAGATTAAGACATACGTATACAATACCTTCTTTCATTGAAAGAGATCACACCAACGATGGAAAAAATAAGTATGGCTTGGATAGAAATACAGATCATAGATCGCTGCCTCATTAGTTAGTATAAATTCCGCTTTCAGATTTTGGATGCCGGTACATCCATTTAATAGCAAACTATCTTATTCGATCAGATAACTTATTTATCTATTTTATTCATTTTTATCTGCTTTTACAATGCCAGTTGTAATATCAAAACTCAACTAAATATAAAAAATATAAATGAAACTTAAAAAATCCAATTCCCGTTTTCATGACAGGCTCTGTTGAGTAATTGTTAAGATATTTCGTTTTTAAGAAATGTTAATACTGGTCTGGCCATGCAGGTTTCGAGCTCCGTTGTCCACTATTTACGAAATAGATGGTATAACGGGCACATAATCTAATCTTTTTTTTCATATTTCGGTAGATTACACCTTTAAAAATAACTTATTAATATTTCAAATCAATATCTCAAATGGTTTTTGAGTTAAAGCATTTTAAATAGCAGCTGCTCGGCAGCTAGAGAGTCTCATTAGCTACGCGTGAAACGATCCTTTTATATTTAAACGCGTTTTTCTCGAAACAGAATTTTTCGAATTCGCTGCAGTGATTACTCAAAAACAAATGATCCGATCACTGTCGAATTTTTTTTACATGTTCTATATATAGTTCTCCGTACAATATGCTATCGATTTTTGGTCTGATAAAAAAATCGAATTTTGGCAGGCCAAAAACGACCAAAATTTCGGGTAAAATTGAACAATTTTTTTAAAATGCCGTAAATTTTTGATATTTTTTTATCGTAGGTCATTGTACATACAATATTATCTAGTTTAATGAGAGTTTTTTTTTTAGACTTCATCCACGGAGAAGGCCGGAATCACTGCAGCAGTGAAGGACTTTGGAGATCGACTATAATTTAAAAAAAATTTAATTTTTTTCTTCAAAAATTTCACTGAATGTGTATATTCTTAAAACATGAATAAATATATTCCTAAAATTTTGAAACAGTTGATAAAGTATTTTTTAATAAGAATTCACAAATATCACCTTTTATTTAGGTCATTACACTAGGTGTGCCCCTTAAGTGATCTGCATTCTATAAGTGCTTTCTATAGCAGTGAACACCCAAATCAGGCAGCTCAAAAACTAAAAAAGGTTAAACTTCTGATACTGTAACATTCAATCATGCAAAATTTTGGTTTCACCGATTCCGTTACGGTAATTTTGATGTAAAAGAGTAAAAGATGCTACATGGTATGGAAGTTCAATTGCCGAAAATGTCGATAAAATAGGCTGAAAATATAAGGAATGGATGCCGTATGATTTAACGAGAAGTTACTTCATGGACAGAATTGACGTCCAAAAAAGTTTTGTTAAATTTTTGGTGGGATTGGCAAAGAATAATCCACTATAAGCCTTTTTACGGCAAAAGAAAGAAAGAAGAAATCGCCCAGAAACGTCCAGCTTTGACCAAAAGGAGGGGAAGTGTGTTTACGGCTATAGTCTCCTTTAGAACCCAAAAAAACTTTTTCCTAGCATTTTTTTTGTTTTGCAAGGAAGGCTTAACTTTGTCTTTTCCCCACGTAATTCTTTGAAAAATAGATGATTTGATGTTGATGCAAGTTCCATTAAATTGTGCTTAGAATGAATCCCTAAGACTTTTTGTTTTAGAAGCAGACGGATTACAATCACTATTCAATAAATTCAAGTTTTATGGATCGTATAATTAAATATATATATATATATATACGATGTGTGATCGCAAAATAACCGTTATTTTCAATTGTTTCAAAATGTATTTATTTATTCATCAATTATTATCTCGTTCCCTTCAAAGTTACCTCCTCAGATATAATACACTTAAGCCAGCGTTTTTTTTCATATCCTCGAACTCTGAAACGCATTTTTTGGTATCGCCTATAGTTTTAGGAATAGCAAAAAGTCAGCGGGATCCAAGTCCGGTGATATTCTCTGCCGCACGTTTCATGCCCAAGAATACCTAAAAATTGCTTGGTATGAGCTGAACGATATGCCAACATCATCAGCAACCTATCTGACAGTAATTCGTTGATTATCCAAAATCATTTTCTTCACTTCTACAATATTTTCATCGGTTTTTGACGTGCTCGGGTGATCAGGATATTCTAGGTCTTCCTTAAATCTGCTATACCACAATTGAACTTGTGTTCTGCTCATAGTAGACTCGCCAAACGAAACAGTCAGGACATTTCAACAGTCCTTGCTCTAAATGGCTGCTTTCGCAAATATTTTTGTTGTACAAATAAATGTTTTTTACTTAACATATTTTTATAAGAAAAATCAGTTTTTTTCTCTTCTTAAAATAAATCTAAATTCAAATCCTTTAGTTTTCACTTTTTATATTTTCTTCTTTTCACAATTCTCACAGCTAAGCGAGTAATTTTGTTAATCGTAGCACCAAAATATTCGAATACAAAGCAAAGGACACACAAAGTAAACAATATACCCATAGCCACCAATATTTCATTCAAATCCTCTAATTTCAATGGTTTAAAACCGTGGTGTTGGTTTGGATCTTTCAAAAAAATCCAATCCATTTGCAACAATTCGTAAAAACTATGTCGTGTCCAATGATTTATCAGGCCGGCTTCGTGTAGACGTGCGAGAAATCCATTTAAATGATGGCGATGTACGGAACTCTCTTGCAACGGTAAAACCATTGGATAGTTTCGGCTGAAACAAATGTCTGATAGGCGAAATAGAGGACGCGAGAAGTACTTTTGTTGTTCATCGTAGATGGTCCACATATCGGTTACCGTAAATGCATAGCCCGTATCGAGGGAATCGCGCAGTATGAGGAATTCCGTGAAATTATCGAAAACGGTAAAATTCCGAATATATTTGCGATATTCCCAATTATTGTGTATCAAACTCAATTCCTCCCTGCTAATGGCTAACTTAATGCCGGCATTAAGTAAGTCCGCAATAGTCTCCAATTGGCCAGTGATTGGTGTATTCACACTGAAACTCTGCAGGTAAGTGATGTATGCGGTGACAATGAGCACACTCGCCAAAGAGATGGTGAGGCATATAATCTTGTGCACCCCTGAGATGCGTCTCTTCATGCGAAAGGGCATGCCGAGCAAACCCTGAAACAGTGAAACATTGAAGAAGTGTTCAATAAGTGATGGTGGCTGTTCAGATTGCCAACGCATTATGAATGCCCAAAGGCAGGAGGTCAACATTAGACAAACACTAAATAAAATAATAACGGTCTTCTGAATAATACTGTAATAGATTCTGGACTTCAGCAGTGGTTGCTCCATCGGCACCATCAGACACCAGTCGATGCGATGAAATACAACGGAGAAACTAACGTTTCGATCTGTGACTTCGATGGGTGTTAGGGAGCCGATGTCAATGGTTTTGTTCTCAAAGAAATCATAAAATTCGGAATAAGTGTAAAATTTTCGATGCAAAGTTAATGGATATTCAATGGTTGCATTATGCACTTTCGCATATTCCAACAAAGCTCTGCCCAAAAAGCCACTCAATGTGGAATTACCCTTCGCCGGTGTAAAGGTGTAGATTTGCGGATACCAGGCCTTGGCGTATATACGTAATGGTTGGCCCTGCATGTTGGCTAAATGTTTCGGAAACATGTTATTATAATCCAAGGCGAAGCGGCGCTGAACTATCGTTTGTGCAGGAAATATACGCACGGTCCAGTAGGCGCCTTCCATAACCGACATTTGAGGCTACAAGGCAACGACATTGAATGCCTGCTGTTTCATACACATATGCAGGATGCGTGTCACATAAGGCACACTGGCCGCATCGTCGAGAAGTAGAAGCAGTCGACTTTGTCTATTACGCCAAAGACGTCGCCACAGCGCCTTTAGTAGCTGCTCATCAGTAACGAATTGGTTATTTAGCTGGGCGATGCTTAGCAGCTCAGTGTTGAACACAGACTCAAATTGTATGATGGGTGGTGTGCTGTCCAAGTGTAGGAACGATGCTGGTCGATACAGTGTAGTCTTGGTTAAAGCATTTACTAGCTTCGCTGAATGTAGTTTGTTTTGTGTTTCCAAGTGGCTATTATTTCCGTAGCTTGTGTAGAGTATTGTATTCACGCGACGCTCCAGCGAAGTGGATATCACAATATTTGTAAGTATTTGCATGAAATGCTGTTCAACTGTGGAAAGTCCAATTAAATTGAGTATCGCTGTGAAATTATTAAAGCTCTGCATATCTGCTCTATTATTCTTGGCGGTTTTTTCACTTAGGTCACTTTCCACTAGTTTGCTCTGACTGGAAGATTCAGTGCTGTTTTGCGGCTTTTATATCCTTGAACGCAGCTAAACTCTTGTTATGAGCATAGGAATTGTGTCAGAGAGACAAATGTGATGCAATTGGTTTGTTTGCTGATTTCATGTTTAGTTAGTAATTAATTAATTACTTGCGCAATGTTTATTTAATACAGTATTTGTGCGATCAATGTATGAAACGACTGAACCATGGCATTGAACTGCATTTACTGCAAATGTGTGAGTTACGACTTCAAGTGACCTACTTGCAGAATGAGGGTATTGCAGAGAACTCCAACTTTAACTCTCAGTATTCTCAGTATAGCGATGAGAGGATGTTCAGAGTTTGCGTGTTATACTCATATGCTCATATTTAAACCGTCTGCAAAAGAGACATAACTTCAAATCTGCTATTTTTTCAAAACTTTTTAAATTTTCAATCTTTTTATAAACATGTCAAGCGGATGTTGCTTCGAAAATTTGGACTCTTTCATTCGATCATATTTCGATTAAATTGAAGCAAATAAGAAACGGGAATTTTTGAAAAAAAAATTAATTAATTAATTAATTTAAAATGCCGTGGATACCCATGTTTTCTGACTATTTTTTCTGCAAGTCATTTTAAAAATATTAAAAAAAGTACAGCGTTTTCCAAAAATCGGTAGTTTATTTCAATTGAAAGAAGAAGATATGCAATCAATAATGGAATACATTATCGGCCAAATGACCGCAACGGCTCCGCTTATCGGAACTTATCTCCTTTTAATAAAATTTTGAATCACCAAATCGTAAAGTGGCTTTTGTAAACTCTCAATAGCTTAAAGAACTCCATCGTTGAGGTTATGAATCGACGTTGGTCTATTGGTGTAGACCTTATCTTTCAGGTGATCTCAAAGGAAGAAGTCACAAGCTGTTAAATCGCAAATTCTCGTTGTCCAATTGCGGTCACCTCTTCGAGAGATAACGCGTTCCGGAAAATTTTCTGTTATTAGATCCATATTTCGTTGCTTGTGTGGCACGTAATACCATCTTGTTTGAAAGAAAACTTTTTGCAGAGCGATACCATCCGATGCCGGCCATAAAGAATCAATATTAAGCTCTCGATAGCCAATGCATTCTCCATGCCTGTTTCTTCCGCCGAATTCTCAAAAGGGTAAGATCCAAAGACCCAGCCGGACCATAAGAAGCACAAAACAGTTTAAGAGGCTTTTCAGCAATAACCTTGGGTTGGGGTCCGAGCCCCAGATGCGATGAGTTTAGTTATTGACGTTTCCATCGAGGTTCCGAATCATCTTCATTTCAAGGACTCAATCAGCAAAAACACGACGTTGTTAATGATCGGCCTGCTTGAGTTCTTCTGTTAACTGAACTTAATAAGCCTGCAGACCCAAGTCATTTTGCAAGATATGGTGTAATGACATTTGTGGAATGCCCAAATTCCAAATATCGACGAGGAGTGGACAAATCTAGGTTTTCTTCAACACTTTGGGCTATATACCGCTTAAGCGATTTTCGGGCGAGCTCCTCCTCCGATTTGTGGTTTTGCGTGTTGATGTTTTTCCAGCAAATGGAGGGACATACAATTTATACTAAGCCGCCTCCGAACGGCTGATGTTTTTTTACGAGGAGACTTTATTTAATGTCCGATACGATAAGAGTTCCCTTGTAACCAAATTCAGACACAGCTCTGTAGAGGCTACCCGTTCTCGTGCATTCGAAAGCAGTTAAAACAACAAATAGATCTCACCCGACTTGGATATATATTCAATGGTGGATTTATTAGATTTTAAGTCGCACTGAAAAGCTTCGAACAGTTTGTTGACGGTGAGATCTAATATGCGCTATTCAGGAGTCTTATTGATTTTGGGATCCAGCCTTTTATACATAAGGTAGAGTGAAGTTTGGTACCAATTGACAGGCTTGCACTTATTCCACAAAATTCTGCAAAGAAACTGCAGGACATCGTCATGCAGTACATCATAGCTCAGCCGGTTAATTGTACCTAGGACTTAGAGTTCGCTGTAACCGAATACAAAACTTTCACTCTAATTTAGTAGACAGTTGTAATGTTCTCTACATAAACTCTAGACATCAGTAGCCGGATTTACTGCCTTAGTTCTTACTGAGTATGCTTCGACCTTAAAACTTATTGTGAGTCGGCCGGCTTCTTAAGTTCTTCAATAGTGCAGCTTTTGGCCGCTCTATAATTCAGTCTGCCAATGCGTATCGTTTTCCTCTTCAACTCTGCGTTCCCCTCTTAAACAGTGCGCGCTGCGTTCGATTGCATGATTGAGAGAGGTAAAGCGAGAGAGAGGTATGAGCTCATTTTCGCTCTCCAGCGGATCAACCGACTAACCCTTCATATTAAAATTCAAGGCTATCAATGTATTTGTGTGAATGCTATACAATAAAATATTCGTGGAATTTAATTAGAATATTAAAAATAAAATATTAAACAATTTTTAAATGATTTTATTTATTTTAAATTTTTAATTACATTGTTCAATATTATTGAGCGTTGAGCGTACAAAGAAATGAGCGGTTATCACGTTCTCAACTATATTAATATATTGTACATACAAACATATTTAGTATAAATATTTATGCAATGTTCGTGATTTATTCTAATTTCGATATATTTCACACTTTTCTCAACGACCAACGACCAAAAACGCCACAGAGTGGGTAGTGGCTAGTTAAATAGAAGCGAGTAATAATTTTATTGCATTTGTTGTTTTTCGTTTATCTACATATTTTGTTGTTAGTTACATATTTTTGTTACAATTGCATTGCAAACTGACTAAATATTTGTGCACTTGAGTGCAATATCACACCTACACATACACATACATACACATGCACAAAAGTATAAAAATTGAAAAGGTTTACATAGAAACGCCAGCGGAAAAAATGCAACTAAGCAAACATAAAACTACAACAACAATGTGAAAAGTAAGACGAAAATAAAATGGTTAGCAAATTTTTACACTTGCTCGCTACTTAATAATTAAAAGAGAAATGAGATAAATTATTGCGTTTGTTGTCTGGTTTGCCTGTCGTTAGCTTACAATTAATAACTACGAGTTTTTCGCTTTGACACACTTAAATAAGCTCTAAAATTCTGTGTGCTTTATAAATTATTTATTTATTTATAAAAAATAAAAAAAATTCTTAATAAAGTTTTGCAAAGATTTTGTTCAAAACAGGTTAATAAAATATAAAAATATTTTTATATTATTTCAATTTATTTATATGTTATATATTTTATAATTTTGGCCTATAAAAATATAGTAATAACTAAATTTTTCTTCTTGTCTTGCAGCAACTCTTCCCTCTACTATTTAACCATAATTTTCAAATAAGTTATCAAATATGCGCATCAATTTCCTGAGTAACCTTCAACCCACATTGGGTATGAAAACATCAGCACCGGCCACGGAACAATCCACAGTCACGGCACCGTTACGAAAATCATCACCACCATCACGCCTACAACGGCAAGTGACCATTGAAGCGGACCCCGATTCGCTTGATAGTGTTATCAGTAATCCACATTCATATCCAATTACAATCGTACCAAATCGTCCAGCGAGCTTCTATGGCTATCCGACCAATGGTGGTAAAACATTCAATCGGCAAGCGAGTTCGAGGTGAGATATATGCACATTTTTGACTGCATAAAAATTTTAAAAAATCTCTGTATCGAGACCCAAATAAGATTTTAAGACTTAATGCTGTTTTGATTCTCAATTCTGAATAAATTTAGTTGTATTCAAAAAAAAAAAAAAAAAAAAAAAAATACTCATAATATTAAAATATTCCTGAAATAATCTAAATCCCAAACTGGTTTCGTAATGATCTAATTTTGAGGTATTCGTTTGTCGAACTATGCTCCTTACTTTAAATCTCATGCATTTGAAAACGGTTTCACTTTTGAATATTCAAACTTAAATGGGTTTCGACGACACCTGTAGCAACCACATCGGTTTATAAATATATATATTGAGCAGATTTGATTTTTTTTTTTTAGCAGTTTTAAAAAGGCTTAGTGTAAAAGGTGAGGAGCTCATATACATCATCGGCACTTTATGGCGTATTTCGCATTTAAATTCACACCTACATCTATTCATAGTATAGCTGATTATCGCTAATTCTATACACACGACGATTGGGTGCTTGAAAAAACAAGCAGGATACGGCGATTTTACGAACAAAATTCTCTACGGCGGTTGGGGTATACTGTCTGGGGCGCTCTATGGACCGGAGGTGTGATTGGACATAAGCTCTTATAACGCCAAGAGTGTCAGCCGACTTTTTGGCCAACAATTGAAGAACATGATTTCGACTATATTTGGTGTGCCTCAAGTCAAATAGCACATGCGAATGTGGTTTTATAATCTCTCACCTTGGCGTTGTCAACATCGTTAAGTTATGTCTGTGATACCACGTAATATATGCTAAAACCAATATCTTAACTCAAACCGATAGAAGTTCGCTTTGCGAAAATTTGTATGTATAATGATAATATTAAAATTTTATAATAAGAGATAATAAAGAGGATCATGAAATTTTTTTTTTTAAATATTGTACATTGTGCATTATGAGTTACTCCGAAGAATTTTCGGTAAATCCATATACTTCATTAAAAACATTAATAAATTGAGGCGCGATACTACTTACTGTTCCGTTTTGAAATTCCTAATGAATTTTGAAGTTTCACTAACATTTTCAGTTTTATATTTAACGTTTTTTTAGCGCCAATTTTTTACTTTGTAAGACTATACTTAACTATACTATATGAACGGGATCCATTCTAAACCCGTTAAATCACTCAAGTTCCTTATTTTGTGTTGTGGTTTTCCAAGAAGTTCATTAACTCGCCCAATCTTTTTTTTGGTAGGTCGGGTTCAGAAGGATATTTTTGTAAATAGGCAGTTGAAAATACATATATAAGCGGTCTTCTCTTCTTGAGTTAATGTGTAACGATTCTTCTGATACCACTGTCATATGACAGGTGAAGTTAATTAGAATTTCACTATATAGGCGAGATTTGAATTTATGAACCTTAACACAGGTAGAGATAGAGGTAGATTATTTTCTTATTTTTCTAATTTCAATAGTTGAGTTTTATTTTTTTTTAAATTTTTTTAAGGGCCTTTAAAAATAAGTTATGTAAAATATTTCAATGTGTTTTTTTTTTGGAATTTTTATTTGAAATTTAAATATAAATCATTCTTTGGCTTCTCACAAAAATGAGAGTAAAATTTGTTTAAAGGCTAAGTAGTCTCCTTTACAGTCCAAAAATAGGGGTTTTCAGAAATTTTTTTAAAAGGGAAGGAAATTATTGCGTTAAACGAAATGTTCAGACAATAATGTACTTAAGCTTTAAAAAACCAATATTTCGTATCAAAAAATATTGGAATTTTGCAAAGATTTCATGAGTTTTCTAAAGCGTCAGCAGTATGAACTTGTACCTGCTATGCCTCTGAAAAAGTCGAGTTTTTTTTAGTTTTATGAGTGTCTCTTTTATATGAACTAAAAGTTACCAAATTTGGAATACCTCCAATTTTTTTTGAAGTTTGAGAAAAAATCCCCTTTAAGTTTCAATAAATAATTTAATATTTTTTTCAAATAGATTAAATATTTAATACTGAAGCTAGATCTACGTGATTTTCTTCGCTCGGATCTAATTAGTTACATAATACACCCATATAGGCATATACCTAATGTAATAGTCCTAAGAGAACCCAATCCAATTTACTCTTATAATACTTAATCTTACTTTTATAATTAATTACTATTACTCGTTAGAAACCCTATTTTATCACACCCACACCTCACATACTTTCACACTGTTTAACCCATCCTTTCACTCACTCAACATACATACAAACACTTGCACTCAAACTCACATCATTAGTTCTTTCTCTTTTCAATTTAACATGATCTTTGTGACAAGAAGACGTAGTATAACTTCTTTACTATATTCTTTCTGCTATTCCCGGCATCGTTTTCTAAGACCTGTAACAATGAGCTTGCGAAAACGCGCTTCAAAGTTTTGTCCGATGATTCGAACCTGCTCGACGCTCGACCACTAAAATTGCTCTAGCTACTAAAATATGTCAAATTGACCATTGGAATTTTGAAGACTACCACTTTAATAATTCTTAGCTTAGTAATAAAATCTTCGCCATGTCGTATGAGTAATATTTAGTCGACAGGGAAAAATACAAGGAAAGTAAAAACTCCTACTCTTTGTTTGATTAGTAAATTTTAAAATATAGAACAGCTTCATTGGTAATTATGTTCAAATGTTAATTTATTATTATTTTAAAATACGTTTCAGGGAATGTTAAAATAATAACATATTTTTTGATTAAAATAAAAATGTGATGTAATTCCGACTGCCGGCCGAACCATAGGTAAATTTATATATTTTCATTAAGTTAAGAGTACCACCTGATTTCCCATAGAAAACTCAGCGCATTCAAAAGGTCTCGGTCTCTTTTCATTAAGACTTCGTACAGCTATAGTCGTAGGGTAAAGCCACACTACAACAATAAAAGAAAACTCTGGTCAAATAACAGTGTTCCCATGTGTTACATGGGCAATAGATGGAAGATGAACTACAATGGTTAGTGTAAATGTAAATGCATTGTGTAAACGAGTCCTTATGAATTTCAACTTGTTTTGTTTGTTTGGAATATATATTTTGCTGAAAGGGTTTCTGAGCTTGCTGTTTCTATTTGCACATCTGCTTTGCAGTGCCACTATTAAAAGGTAGCTTATAATAAAAATTAAAAAGAACGACGCTAAGTGCTCTAAAAATATTTTTCAAAATTATATCAAAACAACCTATTTTTCTGGCAAAGCGTGCTTATAATATAAAAGGAAATTAAATAATTTAAATAACAACACATAAAAGGTGGTCCGATTTCCGCAGAGTAGACAATTCTAACACTTTTTAAACACTCTTAAAACCCAACACGCTCCACAATGCGCCAAAATCAAAGCAAATAACTAATCGATTTAGTCAACATTTTTCCCAGCTAAGAAAGGAAATATATATTAGTTGCGCTTGTTACATTCATTCTGTTGTTGTTTTCAATAGCTTTTCATGATCTCCACACCATTTAATGGCTCCTCAATATAAACTTCTCATGTATTTTAGCACCCAAATAATTAATTGGGCAAATATGCGAAAATATGGGAAAAATATATATGTAAAAAATTTTAAATACGCTTTTAATAACTGCGCAAGGTATAATTATAATACAAATATATCGGTTTATCGGCGCTTTGCTATGCTTCATTTCGACCACCTTGCGAGTTGGTAGTCAGTAGAGTGATCGTGATCGCTTTGGTTGGTGGTACGCGTGCGCAAACATATACACATATGTTGAGTAAGGATAAACGCTTCATTTAAAAGTGCTTCCTCGCGGCTTTTCGGTTTTACTTTATTTAATTTTTTTTTGTATTCAAGTATATCCTTGAAGTAAACGAGCAAGCGAAAATGCAAAATCAGTGCAGTGATATTCCTGAAGAGATTGTCACCGACAAAGAAGATCCAAATCTTCTATCACTTCAATGGAAGCGTCAATATATGCGTGGCATTTCGGCGACGCCTTCGCAAGCGGGCGTTTATTACGAAGCTCTCAAAGGATCGAGTGCATCACTGGCGAGAGGGTATGTGAAAGGATATTGTTGTTTGCTGTGAAAACAAGTTTTGTAGATGCAGTAAAATTAAAAAAAAAAAAATAAATAATAATAAACTTTCAATTTTATATTTTATAGTGGAATTCGTGATTGTTAGGAATATGAATTTTATTTATTTATTTATATTTAGTATATTTTTGATGAAGTAAAATCAACCTCTCTGCATTTGGTTGTAAAAGCGTATTTTTATTTCTATTTTGGTCATTTAATCTGTATATTTAGATTTTAGTTTAAATTTTCAAGCGTAAGCTTTTTCAATTTTCAGAAAACGCATGTAGAGAATTATAATTATCAAAAAAAAAAAAGTGTTTCCCAAAAAAAAAAAAAAAAAATTAATTAAAGTATCGAAAAATATTTGTTTTCATGCAAAAGTGCAATATATGTTGAAAGCATGCTTCAAATTAAATTAATATTAACCAATTAGAAAATAATATACCACCATTTTTAAGGTTTCAGCGAATACTAAAAATAAATATATTTCAGTACAATTTAACTAAATTTTTCACTTCGGTTCCTTACTTGCTGTCAGTGGCTTTTTGTCCCTTTTTGCATATTGCTTAAAATCAACGATAACGATAAATTTCACGTTAATCGCTTTCTAACGTTTCGGTTGAAATATATGAAAATTATAACGTTAAAACAGTTGTTAAAGTAATTTTCTTTTCGTTTTTACTTGATACCAAAAGCTGTCGTTAATGTTAAATCGTTAGCAGATAATGTTAAATCGTTAGCAGATAATGTTAAATCATTAGCAGATAATGTTAAATCGTTAACAGATAATGTTAAACGTTAAAATTGAAGTGTAGTGCTGAATCATAAAAGGCAGCCATTGCATTTCATTGATTTAATTCTTTTTGTGACCGAAACGGAATTATATCGTTTGTTCAGCATTTCTGCTTAAAATATATACTATTTTTATATAATATTTCTAAGT